GTTGGCCTCGGCTCGAGAGAGAGTACGACTGGCGTAAGCTATGACATGTTCTACGCCGTTGTGCCGTTGTACAAGGACAGCGCCAAGTCCGACGTTGCTTGCATCCGTGTGAACTTCGGTATCAGCGTCCTCATCAAAATGCGCAAGAACAGGTGCCTCTTGCATTCGCTGCCGTAACTCTGTGAAAGCTGCTTCTTGCTCTGTAGTCCAGGCAAACGGTACATCATCTCGGGTGAGTCGCGTGAGCGGTTCGGCTATCGTCGAGAAGTTGGTAATGAATCGGCGATAATAAGCACACAAGCCGAGAAAACGCCGTACCGCTTTTTTGTCTGACGGCACAGGAAAGGTGGCGACTGCTGCAGTTTTTTCTGGGTCAGGCCGCACTCCATCCGCACTCACAACATGTCCCAGAAATTTCAGCTCATCGTAGCCGAAATGGCACTTCTGGGGTTTTAGCGTGAGTTCGGCCGAACGAATAGCTTCCAGAACCATTCTTAGACGCTTCAGATGTTCTTCGAAACTCTCGGCAAAGATGACCACATCATCAAGGTATACAAGGCAGCTTTGCCACTTCAAGCCAGCGAGGACGGTATCCATCATTCGCTGGAATGTTGCGGGAGCCGAACAGAGGCCGAAAGGAAGAACTCTGAATTCATAAAGCCCATCGGGAGTTACAAACGCTGTCTTCTCTCTGTCTCGCTCATCGACCTCTATCTGCCAATAGCCGCTCTTCAAATCTATCGATGAAAAATACTTCGCGTGTCGTAGCCTGTCGAGAGAATCATCAACCCGTGGAAGCGGGTAGACGTCTTTTTTGGTGACGCTATTGAGTTTCCTGTAGTCAACACAGAATCGCAGCGTTCCGTCTTTCTTCTTTACTAGAACGACTGGCGAGGACCACGGGCTGCTCGACGGTTGTATCACCCCGTCGTCAAGCATCTCCTTTACCTGCGTCTGTATAGTCTCGCGTTCTTTAGCCGAAACACGGTAAGGTTGCTGGCGGATTGGGCGAACATCATCGTCGGTAATAATTCGGTGCTTTATGAGGGGTGTTTGACCGACTCTAGATGAAGAGGCGAAGCACGATTTAAATTCCTTCAGCAGGGTATGCAGTGCGGCCTTCTTCTCGTCCGAAAGCTTCGAACTGACGTCGATGTGGTCCAGAAACTTATCTCCATCAACCATTTCCTCGGATGCGAAGCACTCGGTGACATCCGCTACACGGTCTCCGAAGGCCACGGTGGTGCCGCGGAAAAGATGTCGGTGCTCGAAGTTAAAATTTGTGACGAGTATCTGCGACCGTCCGTCACGCACACGCAGAATGCTTCGCACTGCACACACACCTTGAAGCAGTAAAAGGGATACGTTGCTCTCGGCGACCACGTCACCGTCTTGGAGGTCTTCACAGGTGACTTCTACGAAAGCAGTCGCTCGGGGAGGCAACGTCACGCTTTCGTCGGCAACACGCAGCGCAGGTCTACGACAGCTATCAGCGCCTCGATCGGTTGCAAGTTGCGTCGAGAAAGTCACCATTCGCTCGCGGAGATTTATGATCGCGCCATTCTCTCGAAGGAAGTCCATTCCAAGGATGAGCTGACGAGAACAGTCGCGTAGTACGAGGCAGGTTACCACAAACGTTGACTCGCGTATTTCCACTCTTGCGGTACAGCGACCCAATGGAGTAATAACGTGGCCTCCAGCAGTGCGAATACGCGTCCCATTCCAAGGTGTCATCACTTTCTTAAGACTGGTTGCCAATTTTCCGCTCATAATAGAATAATCTGCACCTGTGTCCACCAATGCGCTGACCTGAAGACCGTCTATCAGCACGGGAATGTCGAGTGAGACTCGGCCACTGGGTTCAGACGCACAATCCGGCATTTCTCTCGCACTGCACTCAGACGTCAATTCAATGTCTGCAGCGTTTTGTGGAAGCGTCGATAGGAGGTCTTCCGCACTTTTAGTCCCAGCGACCTCGCCCCCGAAGGTCGCTGCCTTCAGTTTTCCCGACGAGGGCTTGGGGAACGTCCCCGTGCCATCGTACTGAGACGTGGTCCAATAGCTGCGGGTCGTCGTGGAGATGGAGACCGCGATTGACGCCGTGGGAAAGGCAGACGTTGCTGCGCGAGGTAGTCCTCAATTTCTCTTGGCCTCTGACCAACTAGGGGACGAGGCGAATGAATAGAGAAACCGCGCAGTCCAAGTTGTCGGTATGGACATTCCCGGTAGATGTGACCGGCTTCACCGCAATGGAAGCAGAGGGGTCTTCTATCCGACGTACGCCAAATATCGGACTTCCGCGGAGGGGCACGGCGACCGTCGATGTCCAAACCAGCATGCGCAGATTGAATTGAAACTGGCGGCATCGTCTGGATTGGGACTGCAGGGCTTGAGACCGGCATGGAAGTGCGCAGAGCTTCGGCATATGTGCGGTTCCCAACATCAGTGGACGCAGGAGGTGGTTCTAGATTTGTAACCGTTGGTTGAGGGCGACGGCTGTGAAGCACCTGCTGGACCTCGTCCCGAATAATATTGGTGATGCTGCTTACCTCCGGCTGTCTCGCCCCGTGTAGTTTCGCGATTTCCTCGCGGACGACGGAGCGGACGATTTCGCGAATCCACTCAATGCTGTTGCTCCCGAAGCTGGCGGAAAATTCAGTAGGTGATGCAGAATTCACTTGCCGGTTGAGTAGGGCTGACCGCTGATGAAGTACCCTCTCCATCGTAGTGGCTTCGGTCAGGAATTCTGCTACACTCTTCGGAGGACTCCGCACTAGACCAGCAAAAAGCTGCTCCTTCACGCCTCGCATCAGATAGCGTAGCTTTTTTTCTTCTGGCATTGCCGGATCCGCTCGCCTGAAAAGCTGCGTCATGTCCTCCACGTACATGGTGACGGTCTCATTAGGCATCTGGATGCGTGAATGCAATGCACGTTCAGCACGATCGCGGCGGTCGGGGCTCCGGTAGGTCTCCAAGAGGCGATGCTGGAACTCGCGCCAGGATGTCAAGACATCACTTCTGTTCATGAACCACGTTCGGGCGCCGTCTTTCAAACACGCGTAGACGTTGCGGAGTTTGGCGGCTTCGTCCCAGTAGTTGATCGCTGCGACGTGTTCGAACTCGCTCAGCCAGTCGTCCACATCCTCAAACAGCTCTCCGTGAAAGGGACTAGGCATCAGCGGGTTCTGGACAGTGCAATAAATTGGTGCCGACGACGTAGGAGTTTCCATGACGCCTTGAGGCGAAGTCATAGTCGCTCTATGGATAAGCTGTGCCGGTGTCTCTGGTGGTAGGCCTCGTTGGCGGCGGCTTGTTCTGTGAACTGGCGTGTCCACGGGCACAGGGCTTGTGTTCCGGCTCCTGGATGGGCTCTTGTGCATGGGGTGCGTCGTCAGTTGTCGTACCCAGCAGCTCCACCAATCTTGTCACCAATCTTGTCTCACTCAAGGAAACCTTCCGCAGAACTGCTCGTCAAGCTAGGACAAAAAGAAAAAACTGCTCCAACCCAACCTCTTCGTCCTCTTCCACACGAAAACCACGCGAATTCATGCGGCAATATTTCATATGCCTCATTAGCGTTAACTGATTTATAGACAGGATCCCAACTAATCTGGGCGATTTCACGCCTAAAAGTGTCTAACGTTTTGTTACTAATTTCCTGTATTTTGTATGATTCTGGAGTTGATACTTTTGCACGACTAAGATACTCGTTGCAATTTTGATAATGATCTACTGTCTACTTTAGAAGAGATTCGTAATTTTTAATACACTATGTTGAAGAGGTAAAAAAAAATGGAAAAGAAAGTTTTTTCTTGACCCTGCATTCTTCAGTAATTGTCTCTTTAATAACGCAAGGCTGAGAAATTATCATTGAAGATGAGATAGGTTGAACTGATGTGCACTCAATAAATGTCTAGTAAAGCATCGGTCCGTGAAACATGTAGCAGAGACTGTTGATGTGCGGCTTCACTTAAATGTCTTTTGTTTTGAAGCAACATATTTTTTAGCACTGCCAAGTGCAACTTCCTTCTTATCCATTTCAAACTAACTTGTTTAGTTGTCTCGAAATATTCAAAATAATTGGGGGGGGGAGAGGGATAGGTTAGGTCAAGTGCCTTTTAACCATTCTGTGCTTTTTTTTTTCCAAGGAAAAGTGTGAAAGGTCAAGTTTTCTTTTTATGTTACATAACTGTTATTATGAAGCTCCGCATCAGATTCCACGCTGATCAGAGCGGTCAGCTTCATCATACTATTAGCTCTAGCTAAAAATGTAACACATGCTAAATTAGCTGCTCTATTTGTATCTTGCTATGGCATCAGCAAGGTTTGGACAGATGACTAAATGGACTTCGACAGTATAGAGAAAGGACAGAATGGTGTAGAAAGGGTAGCTTTGCACTCGTCTTTGTTGGTGACGGTGTTGTTTATGGGGTTGTTGCAGTGCTGATTATAGTTCATCCCCTCGAGACGCAATGCTCACACATGTGCACGGCAGCTGGTTTTTCAATTTTCTTTGGACTAGTGGCCAAGAAATAACTATATTAATTGCGCTGCGGATATTTTGAAGCTTCAGCATAGTCGGCGTGTCTTGATTTGACCTCAGTGTGCTGCTTAGCAGTGTAGTCTATCGCTTCCATGAAAGCATTGCAATGTCTCACATGTTGTTGAAGCGCCGCAAATTGGGCATGCATTCTGAATCTACCGTTTGATTTTTTTTATGGAACATGACCGACCGCACAATAATTGATCATTTGATTGTGTGCAAAATACAATTAATTACTGAAAAAGATGTTCTTTCTGGGAATGTGATATTATGATTTTAGACTTATTTTATTATAATCTGACTCATTGCATACGATGCATCACAATTTGTGCTTCAAGAGGTTATTGCATGCTTCACTTTTTCTTTTTGCAACGAATAAACATTAATCATTAAAATTTCGTGTAGTAAATCTCGAAGTTGGCAATCGATTTTGTTAAACTTTTGCACAGAGGTTTAGCCAAGATGTTGCCATATATCTTGACTCCTGGGTCGGCATGGTGCAAAGCTTCAAGACGGAGCTTACAGTCCGATTCCCTGACGGGTCAACGTGAGTGTGCCCTTTCGTTTTGCGAGTAACATAAGTTTTGGATAGAAAGGTGTACATCAGGCTTGGTAGTGGCGCTATTATAATAATTCGATTACTTTTTGCTGTAAGGAGTAATGTTGGCCGGGTAATTTGGTCATGCAGCGAATTTCTTCAAGTCAGTAATTTCAGACAAATTACCCATTCGTTTTCTATTTACTTTTGACTAACAAGTAGCATCTGCCCTTTCTCTATGGCATAAAATATTGACCAAAAAAAAAAAAGGAAAGAAAAGTAATGGGCAATTTAATGTGAGTGCTGGACTTCAAGTGTCGGAAGCCAAACAAAGAGCGCGGATAATTCACTGTATGTATGCTCTGTGTATAGTATGCACGAGTTTTGCAGAATGGTAAAGATTATATATAGTACTTTCATAGTAATTTCATTAATTTTCAAAATGAATTTATATATGTTATTATTTTCTGCCAGCTGTGGCTTTTAATGTAAATTAGTTACTTTTTAGGAGAAGCCTATATGGGTTTGTGTGCTACAGTGATGGAAACTTTGGGCATCATTGTGGCATTGCAGCACAATAAAAAGACTGATATGTTGGAAGGCTAGCTCTCACCCCATCTCCTCGCTTTCCTGCGTTGCCTTTTTCAAATAACGCTTGGAAGAATTTGCATATTTCAGGGCCAGTGTTGTATACAAAAGTGTACAGTAAGTTTCCTTGTAGCGCACAAAGAAAAAAACGGGACAAAAAATATAGGCACACATGAACACACAGGGGGCTGTGTGTTCATATGTGCCTATATTTTTGTCCTGTCTGCACACCGAAAAAAAAAAAACCTGAAAACATTAAATTACAGTAACTAGATAATTTGTTATGTTGCAGTTAAATTTGATTGCCATAAGATACACTATAATTTGTTTAACTACGAACAAGCCTGCATTGCATCCCTTATGTATACAAAAAACCTGGCACTGAGTAGCATACTGAAACATGGTCTTGAAGGTACACCAGTCAGATGTGTATTTGTATAACTTATTTTACAATAATCGAGGGTTTTTCAAATGGAGGCTTGTCGGCCATTGGCCGTTTCTGACATTGCAATCTGATCCTATATTACCAGTCATTTTCACGTTGCCGCATTTAATCGTTGCCTGCATTGCAGTCGTTGTCCATAGCAACCGAAGTGCCGCTCGGCCTAGCACACGGATAGAGGTCGAATTCTCGACACGGAGGAAGTGATAATTTTGGAGGGAGTGTTGCACAAAGTGGTAGAAAGGATGAACTCTTACGGGAGGCCGTGCGTACGCCGAAATTTTGCTTGCTCCCAATTTTCTTTGTAGTAGAAGGGCTGCTGAATATTTATTTTGCATGTTTCAGTTCCTTGTAATGGGGAGGGGGAAACAACTTCAATTGCTTGCTTGTGCGGAAGTGTAGGAGGTGTGCTTTCTCACGTGCTTTCATAAACCTTCCAGATGCATACTTCAAGAAGATGACGCACTCGACTTGGAAGATGCTCTAGATCGGAGACTGCCGGTGAGCTTGTCTTTCTCTTGAAAGTCTAGTCTGCATGTCGAGGGCTTTGAAATTGCACTTTGCTCGATAACTCTCGGAGTTGAAATACAAATAGGGCTTTTCTTTTTTTAGCGATTCACATTGATAGAAAGGGCAAGAACAAAAAGCTTCAGCCTTCTCGACTAAATTCCAGTGCAAAAAAAAAAGGGGGGGTAATGTACAACACATGAACTAGTGTGTAAATGTGTCTTCCATGATGAAGTCATATTTTTTCAAAAGCCATGGAGGACACTGAAACATTGTAAAGTGGGAAAAATTACAATGCATATCATAAGTTAATGCCATGTTATGAGCGGACTACTACTGTGCTTATCACTGTTGCCAATCTCTATAACACGTTTTTGAATCCTTACAATATATTCTTGCTGTATCGCATACTACTGGCGTACTGAATACTTGAGTATCTTGAATTAGAGTATAATGTATATATTAGGCCAATATGTATCCAAATTCCCTGTGCTTGTGATTTCTGTGAAGAAAAAATACTAGCTTGCATGTATTTACATGCTTTATTGTTCAGCTCTTTATTTTGTTCAACACCTGTGTAATATGTCAGACCCAAACTTATGTGCTGTAATTGTTCGCTTAATTGTTATTGGAGTGATTTTTTTAAGTGCATCATTTCTTGTGACAATTCTCACAAAAGCTCTATATCTACACTCTTCAGACAGCACCCTCCCCCTTTCCCCTTATGTAACACGCGAACCTCGGTATAATGAACCCACATATACTGAATTATCGGTTATAGCGAAGCAAGTGAGGAAGGGCTCTGTCACAGCTAAAGTGCTGCAAATATATGTTTATAACGAATTTTTGAATATAGCGAAGTATTTCCGTGGCAGGTGTGACTTCGTTTTTACAAGGTTCGGGTGTACTCACGATGGCCTCTTCAAGTATTATTGCTGCCGTTTGGGTCTTTGACGTCCTTCATGTTTTAAGTACACTTAAACCTCGATATAACGAACCCAAATGTAATGAAGTAACGAATATAACGAAGTAAATGAAAAATAGTTTTGCAATATAGTATAAGGAGTATCCCTTATAGATTTTTCAGATACAACGAACCTATTTCGTGCAAGACGCAACTTTGTTATAATCGGGTATCAGTGTTGGAATATTTATAGGGAGGTGCCGATGAAATTGAAAAGTTTTTAGGTATAACGGAGCAGCAGTAAGCACAAAACTGAGTCGATTGGCAGATCATGGGAAGGACCATTACCCTGCGATGTGTGTAATCAGTGTGATGATGATGATACTTGAAAACAACCTCCTTATAAGTATCATAGGTATTCTTCACTGTGGCATGCTACACATGACATCCTCTTGTCCCCGGTCATGCGCAGTCGTCCGAGTTCAAGGAGGAAGGCTTCTACAAGGGCCAGAGGCTGTGCGGCCCGATGTCGTGCTTCGAGGGGGCCCGCTGGCTCAACTGCACCAAGGAGACCAAAGCCCTGCTGAGCCGTCCACACAAGCACGTCCGCGTCACCGTGGACGACGTGAGTGCTGCATCGATACTTAGTTCCGTTGTGACACGCATCGTGACTGACCTCTCATGAGTGCGAGGAATTCATGGAACTTCATTGCAAGTTTCTGGAGGCTAGATTTGAGTGGTTGTAAATATTTAGATACCGCATTTTCGTCCGTATAACCCGGCCCTACATATAATCCGCATCCCCACTCTCGGCTCACCGGAAAAAGAAAAAAAATCCTTACAAATTGCTTGCGCATTTTTTATAAAAGAAAGGCTTTAGAAAAGCTACTGCTCAAGCAACATAGCACATACATTGGCAGAAAAAATTTTATTTATCAAGCAGAACACGCTGCCTGCAAGGCCAGTAACAATTCACTCTTTGTCACTGTTCTCGCTAAAACTACGACTTGCACCACAGTCCTCACTGTTATGCAAAGTCACCTTTGGTTCCATCTGTGTTGTTCGTGATGCAGCATTTCTTGAAACTTTTACGCACCATCTCACCTGGAATGGCCTTCCATGCCTTGACAATCCACTTTTTTTTTTATCTTCGGAGTTTCGTTCCCAAAGTTAAATGGCTGGCATGTTTCTCTCTGCTGAAGAAACTGTCGTTGGCTGCTCTCACTCGTTTTCACCCGCACGTGGAGCATACAGCGCGCGGGGCAATGTTATCGAGCTCTGAGCTTCATGCGGAAACTCGTGGCATGAAAAAAAAATGCGCCAAGAGTATTCATTTAATTTCTGTTGCAATGAAAATGCAATGTTTGTACGTTTGTGTGCAGTATTTGATGTCAATTAAAACTGGAATGGAAGAGCTGTAATATACATTTAGAAACATGGTTTCATTTTTACGAGCACAGAAGCCTATGAATTCAGTAAACGAACGACATTGTAGCGCCCTCGTTTGGGCGGCACGCAACTCGAAGGCTTTGCCACAGGGGCGAAGTAAAGAGACCGCCAAACCATAATCGACGCCAGCAGAAAAGGCAAGCAATGGCTTCACGTGCCACAGTCAAGCGCTTTCTTTGCAATTGCACGCTCTCTGGTTTGCACGCCGCTGCCGTTACCTCGAATACGCTAGCTATTATGCTTTAGAATCACTGTGCTTCAAAATAGTAGCGTCATGGCTATTCACTCATTGCTTAATTATTGTTTAGGCTTGTGCGAATATTTGAGTGCTTCAAATATTCGAACGAATACTGATTGTTGGCCTAGTTGGTACTTGCTTAATGACATGATTTGGCCGCAAATAACACACACACACAAAGTAAAGGAACACTCAACGCCACTTGTGCTTGGCGTTGAGTGTTCCTTTACTTTGTGTGTGTGTTATTTGCAGCCAAAGCATGTCATTCAAACGAATAGTTGAGTATTCGAGTTTAAATTATCGAATATATTTGAAGTATTCACAATGAACGAATAAGTGTTCAAGTCAATTTGTTTTGCCGTGAAGCCCCCCTTCAAGTTTAAAGGGGCCCTGCAACACTTACTGAACACAGTCGGAAAACGCTGCTGATCGGTAGTCGAGGCTACCCAAAACACGCGAGGCAAATATTGTAGCGCAGTACGTGGCCTGTAATTCACAATAAATTTTCAAAGCTGAAAATTGCTTTCTTTCCTCGGCAAATGATACTACGAGCTCGAAAATCACTTGTCACAGCAAAGAAGTAATATACGGCTCTGGTCACAGGCATTGGCTGATTTGAGCATGGTGTGCTCGTCGATACCGAGGCCGCTGCTTGTCCACGAGTACGTGTGCGATCGCACTGAAAAGCCGCCTATTCGAAGAAAAAAAAAAAGGTGCTCAAGGTCACTAGGTGCGTGTGGAGTATTTTCTTTTGCTGTGCCATTCCTCCATGCTTTGTTTCCAGCTATTTCGTCAAGACGAGAAGAGAGAATGCAATTGCAGCGTGCGACAAATTTTTGGAACTCCACTCATACTGGACTGATTCTAGAAACCTTGCAGCAGTAAATTTGTGAGGCAACAAGCATGTTTACTGGCTCCATGGCTACTTGAAAAAGTGTTGTAGGGCCCCTTCAAAGGAACATGTTATCCTCAAATCAATTCTTCATTTTATCAGGCTTATTATGACTGCTTATAGGATCCAAGTATAATAAAACATTAAGTATCTTACAGGTTATCACTCGCATCCTACCGAATCTACTACTCAAGTTTGTTAGGCTTCCTTTTAAAGAAAAAATCAATGGCATTTGCATAGAGCCCCTATTTCAATTCAAAAGAAATATCATGCAGATTAGTTAGGTCATGATAAATATTCCTTTTTTTATTATATGTAATTCATACCATATGAATTCGATTCAAAATTATTTGATCAAAATCACTATTCGCTTCAACCGAAAATTCACTATTCGCACAAGTCTATTATTGTTACATTTTGTTTATAGATTGCTTAAGGAGCACTTCAGTTATCCAGTTTTTCCTTTTCTTTCGTCCCTGTAATAGCCCAAAAGGGACCGACAGTGTAATAAAGTAGAATGAAAGAAATACTTGACCCGAGAAGAGAGTCCAGCCAGGGCATTGATTCTTGAGGGTGCTCTCTGCAGGTGAAGGTGGTGTACCTATTTGTGCAAGGTGTATGCAAGGCTTACCAGGACACATCCAATGGGAACAACCAGAATGATGAACTCATCAAGTATGTCATCGAAGGAGAGGCACTGGACAGGTGGAGTAATCTACAGAATCTCTGTTTAATTTTATGGATGTCTAGTCGTGTAATTTCTGCCAATTGCAGTAACCTGACTAGGCTGATGTGCATACAATCTCTCCATTTCATCATCATCATCAGCCTGACTACGTCCACTGCAGGACAAAGGCCTCTCCCATGTTCCGCCAGTCAACGCGATCCTGTGCTTGCTGCTGCCAATTTATACCCGCAAACTTCTTATTCTCATTTTCCCACCTAACCTCCTGTCTCCCCCTAACCCGCTTGCCTTCTCTGGGAATCCAGGTAGTTACCCTTAATGACCAGCGGTTATCCTGTCTACGCGCTACATGCCTGGCCCATGTCCATTTCCTCGTCTTGATTTCAGCTATGATATCCTTAACCCCCGTTTGTTCTCTAATCCACTCTGCTCTCTTCTCTCCATTTAACCTGTAATATAATCTATGTACATGATTCGACATCTTCTTTCTCTTCAGCGTAACCTGTGTGAGGAATAGGAAGCGGCTCTCGGGAACAGGCACGCGTTCGGCTGGTGCAGAGATGGGGAAGGTGAAGTCGGGATAGAGCAGCCAGCATAGAATCTGGCTACTCTTTGATTATCTGTCTTCCTGATCGCTGTTTGCACCGCCATTTGATATATCTTTTTTACTAGGCAATTCTTGTGTAACCGGTGAATCTAATCCCGCTATTTATCCTTGCCAGTTCTGTCATCTGAAACCAGTTGCATTTAAACATGGCCTACATTGCATAAAAACAATACTCTTGCCGACATGTCAAATTGTCCTGCGAAATCATTGAGCAACATCATTGAGCTCCAACCTGAATCTGCTGGCATGCTTGGAAATGAATCTTTGTAATCAATTTATTAATTGGCCAAGCTCTGTGAACTGGTTAATATGCCGACAGCCAATCAGGGTGAATGTAAGGACAGAAACTAGCACAGGTGCATCTTAAGGTGTATGTGCACTGATGAGGAAAAATTAAAATGTAAGACTTAATTGAGAGTTCAGCCTAACAAAGGTGCATCACATCACTGGGAAAGTGAAGAACGATCTGAAAAATAGTCAGCCTATTGAAGAGTATTACCTAGTTTAGATCATGTTGCTATGAGATGCTGGAGATGAACATAGTACAGAAGATGACAATAATGGCTACCCTTACAGTAACAGCATTAAAGATTACTTTATTATGTCTACGTCGTTTGTGTCTGAACCTTCTGAATATTCCTGCACTGCTTTGCCGTTGCTTGCAGGGTGAAGATGATCAACATATTCGAGCGGTGTGCTCTGCAGATTGGAGATCGTAATTACTACACCCTCAAGGCCACCGACAACATTGTCACTCTAGACCAGTGGAAGCGACATTGTGCCTCCAAGTACTCCCCACCTGTTCACAACCCTGAATGTGTGAGTGTCTACTTTTTTTTTTTTTTTTTTTGATGGAAGGGCGTTGAGAGTTAAATTTCAATAGCGGTATTCATATACAGTAGGCACCGAAGGGACGAGGCAGATGTGTTCCATTTAACCTGAGTTTCATTTACTGAGAGCATAGAGTTTCCTAATTATACACTAGAGGGAACTCTGGCGCTAGTGTCTATGGGAGCTGCGATGCATGACCCTTCAGTGAGCATGGGAATGATGGGTAGTACATGTATTTGTCTAATCTTCATACTTATGGTCCCGTGTGTGTTCGTGTGGCTTTAAGCTGTTCTCTCACGAAACAAAAATGATCAAATGTTCAGCAATTGCGCTGAACATTTGTCTCGTCGAAAGCCCTTACTTGTTGAAAGCCCCATTTCGTCCAAAAGCCCTTACTCCATTTAAACAGCATTTTCGCTTAGGAGTTTTCGATTTAATGAGAATCTGTTGTATGCGTAAAATGAGATGCCAGCAACTGTACAGAAATGCAACCCTCAGAGGTACGCCAGTTGAGTGCATATATCTGTGCTCCAATTTTGAGTTATTGCTTTCTCAATTGTTGGCAGTAAGCTGTTCATTATGTTGCAGTTTGATCTTTCATCGATGTCACTGGTCATTTCACGTTTCATTGTTGTCTGAATATCAGCTTGTGACCATCGTTGTTGCCTGTAGCAACTGAAGTGTCGCGCTACTAAGTTCGTAGACGACGATGCGATTCCCCTTATACCGTACTTACTCGATTCTACCGCGCCCTCGATTGTAACGCGCACCCGATTTACACCGCGAAAAAAAAAAAAAAGTAAGACATCGATTGCAACGCGCACCCATTTTTCTCGCTGGCCCGCACGATCACACCACTCGAAAAAACGACTCCTTTTGGGAGCGTCTTCCATTTAAATATGAGGTACGGGCGAAGCTTGTGCCCATGCGACGTGTAACAGAGCATTGCCGTCACTGTAATTTTACCGTGGACCGATGTCAGCACGCGAACTTGCTTCGCCCCCTTCTTCTCGACGGTTGTGGTGCCAGGCATGTCGAAGTAAAGAGGCGTCTGATCGGCATTCCCGATTTGCCCAAGCAGGTAGCCGTCGTTGCGCCGCAAGTTTAGGACGAACCCCTGAAAACTGTGAAGCTTTTCATCGTACTCTACTGCAAAACTTTTCGCATATGCATGTTCCCTTTCGGAGGGAAAAGCCTTTCCTCTTCATAAAGTTAGTCAGCCAGCACCTGCTCGCTTTAAACTGGCTCCGCATTAGACCTTTTTCTAAGACTAATTGCATAGCCCGCACTTGGAGCAGTTCTGTCGTCACGGGCCGCTGTGCCGCTCGCTGCTCAAGCACATACTCGCCGAGCAGCTCTTTAATTTGCGGAAACCGACCCTGCTGTGGTCCACTGAAGCCTTTGCGTGAAGCTTTGCTGTCGACAATCTTCTGCTTTTGTTTCCGCCAGTCCCGCACGCACGTTTCGGGAACTCCGAACGACCGCGATGCGGCCCGATTTCGGTCCGTTTTTGCACGCGGGATGACTTTCCTTTTAAAAGCGGCATCGTGGTGCACTCGAGTTTTTGGAGTCGGCCCTTCCACGCTGTCGATGCTAATGCACTACTAGATGACGAACTCCTCAGCACACGTACGAAGTGCCGCACATGGGAAACACATAGGCAGAAATGGCCGACGCGCCATGCCGACGCACGTAGGGGGCGGCCATTCTGAATTTGCCGATGGCTATAGATTGACCTAATTTTTTTGTTCGTACTCGATTCTAACGCGCATGCGATTTATGAACTCGCTTAACCGAAAAAAAGGTGCGCGTTAGATTCGAGTAATTACGGTACTTTTCTGTAAGTACTCTAAAGGAAACTCTGGTGCTATTAGGTATGAGAGCTGCGATGCACGACACTTGAGCCGGCATTGGGGAATGATGGGCAGTACACAAGTTTGTCTAATCTCCCTACTCTCGACTTCATTTGGCTTCGCGCGGCTTAAAACCTCTTTGGCACGAAACGACAATCTGCAAATATTCAGAAGTTGCACTTCACCACCTTAACCTATAATGCTCTGAACTTTTGCTCACACAATGCGAAGACACTAACGAAAGATTCACAAGGATTGTGCTGGTCCATAGAGTTTCATACAGTAATATCTAGAGAAGAATCTGGTGCTGCGATCGTGTACCCCTATGGGAATTGTGGGAATTACATACAGGCTTGGGATTGGATTGCGTTAGCTCGCCAACTGTCTTTCAATTGAATATAATTTCTATTTGCCTTGTCTTACACTCGGCAAACAAGCGTCACGAATCTCAAAAACCTGATCCATCTAAAGCAGATCGGAGGCCTGTACTTCCCGTGATCTCTATGGGGGCACAAGCGCTGCCGAAGGAGCTCGCGTAGACGCCAGCGCCAGATTCCCCTCCGGGTATTATTTGTGTCATCGTGTTGCGTGCACAAAAGTTTCAGTATGCAGCCAAACCAACGAGCCTGCCTTTCCATATTGTTGCAGTTCACATTCAGGCTCACCTGTTCAAATCTGGCCACGAAGTTCATAGCAGTCAATTCTTTTATTCGAAACAAAACCAAAACACAGTGATAAACCGAGCCACAAGTGCGTTTGAAGCCCACAAGCACGAAGGCTAGGCGAATTTGTGTACTACCTGCCGTTCCAATGACGGTTGCAGCGCCAGAGCCCTCTCTGGGTAATCTCAGACCTGCATGCGATCAAGGAAACAGTTAGGAGGGAGCATTGTGCAGTGTGATAAAAAGAAAAATGGTGCACTTGCAAAGCTTTGCTTGCCTGTCTTTTTTTGGCAAGGGCAAGACTCCTAAATCCTTCTTATGTAGAAGGAAATGAAGACGTCTTAGACTCTAGCACCCCCGAGACATAAAGAAGGGACGCCATGGAGGAAACTATTTTACAGAGAAAGCTGTTAGGAGATCACTTCTCAGGTCACTCGCAGTCATTGTTGGCCGCCACATCGCACGAAAATAGAAACAATAACCTTGCACCAATCTCACAGTGGGGCTTGAACCCGGGTCCGCTGGGTGCCAGCCCAATGTTCTACGACTGAGCTACACCAGTGCTTGTGACTTGTCAAACTTGCCCTAGGCAGGCTTGATGCTGAGAAAGCAATCACGTCAATAAGACTTGTAGAGCGTTTCACAACAGCAAAAGAACAACCAGTCGTCGCACAATGCAAATAGCGTAACGAGTGGGCCGTCCAATGTTCCAAACCATGACGAAAGCTTGTTCTCGTTCCTCTATTAACTGTGGCAAATACACACTTCAACCATTATTCCTCATCATCGTCGGCCACTGCATGGACAATTGGCACAAAATTTCTTGCAAGTGTTTAGCGGACACCATGCTTCTCAGAAGAATGACGAAAATAGCATAGCGAGTGCTGGCCTACTACCCCAAAGTTTATTATTAATGCCCTAGTGGGTACCAAGCAAGTGTGTTTGCAGTAGTTACCCAATGAGTGTTTTCAAAAGGCTCTGAAAGGCCGCTCCTCTAGCTTTGGCTGTGATTGTGCTGCGCCTACCGCGCAGGCCTGGCGTTTTTTTATCGTGTTAGTAGATTACTCGTTGACAATACTGAAATCACCATGCTTGCCGCAAGGGTATTCGTTCTAAGTGAGAAGATGCGCAGAAAGAATATGTCAGCGGCAAAGCCGCCTTGAAATTTTGGCACCAGTCACCATAACCTATGTAGTTCCTAATCGGTCAATATGCAGTAATTTGCCCTCTGATAGGGCAAATTACTGGGTAAAAATAAACCATTGGTGGCTGGGTAAAAATAAACCATTATCCATAGCGTCATTCACTCGAATTTCAGTTTGAAATTTGAAAACAAGACTGTGACCTTGATGTTTTACTAATGAGCCTATTATGATGAAACAAACATTGAAGCTTTTCAATTATAATTTGTATAACTTCTGTTCAGAGTAGAATTTATTCAGAGTCTCACTTTAGTATCCCCTTAACTCATCTCAAGTTTTCAATAACTCTTTTGCAACAATTTGCAAAATTGAGGCCCCTGTCACACAAGTTATTTCGTTTCGTACGCGAACCCCTCGAGATTGGTCGTCACTTCTTTTTTTTTCGACAGCCACAGGCTCCCGAAAACGAGGGCGTGCGGCAGCAACCGGCCGCCGTGGTGGCCAGTCATGGCGACACGCGCGATGGCGAGAACAACCGCGACTTACAGGCGTGTCAGGACGGCACGGACTCTGACTACGAGGACGTTGAGGATGACGAAGCGAGTGGCTCCGACTCGGTCTCCGGGACGAGCGGCTCGACAGTGTCCTCCATGGACCACCACCACAGGCGGACTCCCGGTGGGCACTCAACTAAAATAGTATAATACAGTCAAACCCGTTCATATTGAACTCAGGTGAATCAAATTGTTCTTTATATTGAATTATATTGAACGCGACTATACTTGACACTGGCTAAATAGAATGAAAATAGCTGGGGCACTTGACGTGTTGAACATCTCAGAAGTGTTTGGCTTTTTCTCATGGAAGTTGAATTTCTCATCTATTGAACGGAGAGCGAGTGGTGTGCCCCGCCGCGGTGGTTTAGTGGCTAAGGTACTCGGCTGCTGACCCGCAGGGCGCGGGTTCGAATCCCGGCTGCAGCGGCTGCATTTCCGATGGAGGCGGAAATGTTGTAGGCCCGTGTACTCAGATTTGGGTGCACGTTAAGGAACCCCAGGTGGACTAAATTTCCGGAGCCCTCCACTACGGCGTCTCTCATAATCATATAGTGGTTTTGGGACGTGAAACCCCACATATCAATCAATCAGTCGAGAGCGAGTGGTGTGATAACGAGAGCGGCACACACAGTGAGTAGAAACAACCGCTTGGCTTCACATGTCCTTGCCCCAGTATTCCTTCTCGTTGATCCACTGGCCCATCTTGTAGTGTTGCTGTTTCTCGATTGATGTGTAGGATTTAACGTCCCAAAACCGCCGTATAGTTATGAGAGACGCCGTAGTGGAGGGCTCTGGAAGTTTTGACCACCTGGGGTTCTTTTACGTGCACCCAGATCTGAGCACACGGGCCTACAGCATTTCCACCGCCATAGGAAATGCAGCCGCCGCAGCCGGGATTTGATCCCGCGACCTGCGAGTCAGCAGCCGAGTACCTTAGCCACTGGACCACCGCGGTGGGTGTGTTGCTGTTTCTCCTTTTGTAAACATGATGGATGCCGTAATAAGGAACAACCTGCTGTTCTCTGCAAATTTAGTGATAATATCATCGAACTTGGGGGGGGGGGAAAGAAGCCTTACGTTGCCGCAGTATGCATCATCCGAAGAAGCCAGCCTAATGTGATTGTGAAAAATGAAGCCAACATTAGGCTGAAGGCTTTCAATGCTCTCTGAATATACACAGCTGTGTACGAAGATGTAGAACCAGCAATTATAATTTACCATGTTTAACCGACGCTGGCATATAAACCCACATCCACAACTACAAACCGCAGTAAAATGCAAAATTTAGAAAAATCCAGAAATACAGTGAAAGCTCGTTAATTCACACCTCATTAATTCGAAATTTTGGATGTAATTCGAAATGGTCGCCGCAGTCCGGTCCGCAGTGCATAGGAGACCATGTGTAAAACGATTCGTTAATTCGAACAGAAATTGCTGCCTCTACGGATAATTCGAAGCGCGCGCCGCCGAGCGTCATCATCGTCAAACACTAGTGGAAGCTTTTACGGTCGAACGATAGGTGGCACGACCAGTTTTTTCGAGCTTCAAGTGACCTCCGAGCAAAGGGCGAGCAAAGTATGGCCTCCAAAATCCAGGGAGCAATTTTTTTTTTTTTCCTAGCCCTCCCGCTATCTCAGTGCCTGGAGCCACTTGTACGCGGGACCTTGGGGATGCTGAGGAGTCGGCGGAGTAGTCCTAGCAGTCCTAGGCCGCTCCCGGCAGCGTCACTTTGTTCCTCGAGCACGTTGTTCGTTCACGAATGATTTTGTGCGCGGGCGACAGGAAGGACTTCGGCATTACGCTGCTCACTGCCATGCACATGTTGGTGCGCGCATGGGAACAGGTGACCGCGACCACAATCGCAAACCGTTTCCGCCACAGTGGATTTGCAGCTGGAAGTGCGCAGGATAGTTGTGAGGTCAGCGTGAATGGGGCTGAGTAGCTCATGCCAGTGGCATTGCGCGACACTCTTCGGGGCGTACGTTTTGCCGATTATGTTGAAGTTGACACCGGTGCATCGGTGTGTGGTGCCCTGACTGATGAGGACATTATCGCTCAAGTAGCTGGTGCGCAGCCTGATGCTGAAGAGCCAGAAGGTGAGGAAGACGAAAATGACGAAGCGCCTGTGCGCCCGTCAGCTTCTGCGGTGATGGAGGCACTTAATGTGGCGTGTCTCTTCTTCAGCTTTGAAGAGAGTGAAGAGGATTCCCTGCGCCGCGTCCGCGCGCTGGAACAGGGAGCCGGAACTGTGGCATGCAGAGGAAAGAAGCAGATGCTCATCACCGACTTTTTTGGCCAATAAATATTTTTGGTGCCCCCACCCCCGAAATCCACTTATTTTTGCTCACTTTGTGGGAATTGAGGCTAGCCCGCTGCCTTTGCGCGGGCTTTCCCGCCTTTCTGCCATTCTCATGTCCCGACATGTCTGCCCTCCTTTGCTGTCTGCCGCGCTGGGAAGGGCGGAGTGACGTTTAATTCCCTCACCCGGTAGCGGATGTTGACTGTGGCGCCGCGCGGGGAGCCTCCCGAGAGGTTTTTCGCGCGCTGCGTCGGGAGCGGCGAGTACAGTCCGGGACTTCAAACGGTGAGCCACGCATTCTTTTCCGTCCGTCGAGTCCCGTCGCTCGGGGCTCGTCGGACTTCGCTGACGGCGCCTCGCGCCCGATGCGAACGCTCACCTTTTGTTGCCCCGCTGCGTACTCACGGCCGAAGGGCAGTACGGTGTCCTAGTGCGTGGCCTAGCTACGCCGACCCGTCTCCCTTCGAAGCCAACGCGAGCGCCTTTGCCCTCGCTCGAGCAACCGGGCCTTTGCTCCGGTGTCTTCCTGGATCACCTTTACCGCGGAGACGTGCTCGTGGCACCCCTGTGTAGTACTTTGTGCCCGTGGCGTGGATAAGCCTATTTGCTTTCCCGCCGCGCCTTTTTGCAACGGGCCGTACTGCGTTAGGTGTTGCCGCAATAAAGTGTTGCGACTTGAGCAGTATCGTGTTTCCCGCCACGGCGACGGTTAACGCGTGCCCTGCGGCTCGCTAAGACCGGACCCACGCTGGTGGCCGTACTCCTTCGGGATACGTGTACACCACACTGGCGCCCAACGCGGTATCAAAAGCTCTAGCTTTTGATTGCTCTTAGAGAGTCAGTTCGCCTGCGCGATTCGGGCTCGTCGCAACATGGCTGCCTCGCGGGACTTTTGTCCGCTGTCCCTTTTAGCGGATGCCGCGTTGCACACGGAGGCCATTGCCTCTATTGACGGGAACCCTTCTGCACCCGTCTGTGTCGGTACCCCCTATTGCGGTGACGACACGAGGCGCCTAGCCGCTCCCTTTGGAGATGGCGCGTCGCTTCGGAATGGGCCTCTTGCCCTACCCGAACGTTACGCACAAGCGCCTCCGACGCCCGTCCGTGTCGGCACCCCCTATTGCGGTGACGACAGGAGGCGCCTAGCCGCTCCCTTTGGAGATGGCGCATCGCTTCGGAATGGGCCTCTTGCCCTACCCGAACGTTATGTCTGCTTCGTGGCATGCCGCGTTGCACCAAGAGGCCACCGCCTCTATCGACGGGCGCCCTTCGGCGCTCGCCTGTGTCGTCACCCCTTTTGTGGTGAATACACTCCTACGTGGTAGCTGACGCGCTATCTCGTGCCCCTTGTTGTCTGCCGAGAACCTGGATTTCGGTGCGACGGCCGCTCGCGGTGCCTTAGCACATGCAAGCGTCGGGGGCGAAACAGCAGCTTCGCCGCCATTCGGCGAGAAGGGTGAGTCCCCATGCGGACAAACCTTGGCTGCTAACCAGGTAAGCGGCGCACCGCGAAGCGGCCGAGCGGGGGAGCTTTCCGAAGGCCACGAGGCCGAGAGCGAACCCGTAACGCCGACTCACGCGGCGGTTGCTGCGGTCCTGAGTGGGCGCGATACCAGACTCCCCCATTTGGGAGAATGGGAATTGCTTTCGGCAGCGAAGAGCTACTGAAGGCTCGGCAGAGTGATCCGTTTCGAGTCTCAGAGGGATGGAGCGCCGTATACGCTGCTTGCTTTGCGGCGGGCGCCGTTAAACCGTCTTGACGAGGCGCGGAGCGCCGTTACGCTGCTTGTTCTGCGGCGGGCGCGATTAGGGGGCTGAAACAGCGTGTGTCGCTGAGTCCCCGGCGGATTCATTTTGCTGGACCATGACGGGCTCCTGCTGAAATATATAGCCACTGACGACGAGTCCATAGACCCGTTTAAGGTGGTTAAGCCCAAAAGTCTGAGAGCCGCACTGTTGCGATCCTCTCACGACGAACCCATGGCCGGTCACCTGAGTGGCTCGAAAGTTTTTGCAAACTGAGCAATGTTGTGACCTGGCCCGGCACGAAGCGTGGCTTTTATCGCTATTCCGTGCCTGCCACGTCTGACAAACGGTTGAGCCAAGGGTTGGAAAGCCGCCCGGTCTTATGAACCGATTGTCAGTGAGCGTCCGTGGCGCGTACTAGCTGAAAGATCCCCTTTGGGAAAACTCAGCCGTGCCAACATCGCAGACCTGAAGCCCTTTGTCATGGTCTGACGAGCTTGCGCCAGTGCCCTGCGGCACTTCGCGCAAGCAACGGGCACACCCGGAGCGGCGGACCGCATTCGGACCCCGCACCGGTATAATCTGAGGAAGCGGTCACCTTTGTGATTTCGCGCCGGACGGCGGACTTCTCCGCAACCGAAGGCCCTCAGTTTACTGTCTAGCCTCAGTATACGTTAGCTTCTTTACGGCCTTTTCTCGTAAAGAAGTTGACCCCGCTCTGTCTGCTGCCAGTGTTTTTTTTTTTTTTTTTTTTTTGAAGTGTTCATGTGTATTTTGTTTCTTTTGTCTAATATTAAGTGATATTTGTATTTTCTGTTTTTTGTCAGATGTTGAGTGTCGTTTTGCTCTGTTTTTACTTTTTTTTTTCGTGTTCGTTTCGTCTATCGCGAAGGGAGCTGTGTGTGACCTTGAGTGGCGGTGCTTGCCGGGAGAGAGAGACGAAGGACGCTTTGCGCCTACGCTCGCGCAGCTGTCGGCGGTGTGTGTGCGTGCGTGCTTCTGTGCGTGTGTAAGTGCGTGACGCTTCGATGCGAGCCCGCGAAGAGTGCGTCATGGCTTCCCCCCATCGATGCGGACGCTGGAGGTACTGGGGGTCATTGACCCACTGACGTCAGACCATCTGGCTGTGCTCTGCTCTCGGCTGTCGCCGAAGAAGCCGTGCTGCCTTTCCCACCATGGCTCCTGCACGAGGCCAGCTGAAAGCAGCTATATGCTGCCGGCCAACGCCAGGGCGCCTCGCAGCCAATTTTGGTTCGGCCTCCCTGACCACCGGAGAGGCCCGGCTTCCCGCAACGTCCAGCTCCCTCATCGAGCCAGAAATGCGGGGCCTCCGAACAACCGAAGCGGCTTTCGTCGGACTCGCAGCTTATCAAGAGCAGGAACAAGCCATCAGTGAGCCCCCCCCTTCCGGTACCTCTGACCTCGCACTCGGGCATCGCACCCAGCGGACACTGTCACGCCTTTCCGCCCCTCCGCGCAGTGGACGCTATCCCCCTTCAGCACCACGAACACTAGTGCCACGTTTCTGTGCTCCCTTCTGCAGTATTTGTATAGTGTTGTGTGTTTATTTTGTTATTTATGTTTTTGTTTCTCCTTTGTAATCATATTTCTTTTAAGCAGCAGTAGCAGGGCTGGACTGAGGTTAGCTATCGCTCATAGCAGTGTCATTTTAACTGCATGGGTGACGTCCGGCTGCCTTTTGCAGACCGGTAAAGGACAAGTTTAGGAGAGGGGGATGTGGGAATTGAGGCTGGCCCGCTGCCTTTGCGCGGGCTTTCCCGCCTTTCTGCCATTCTCATGTCCCGACATGTCTGCCCTCCTTTGCTGTCTGCCGTGGTGGGAGAGCGGAGTGACGTTTAACTCCCTCACCCGGTAGCGGATGTTGACGGTGGCGCCGCGCGCGGGGACTCCCAAGAGAGGTTTTCGCGCGCTGCGTCGGGAGCGGTGAGATACTCTCCGGGACAGCAAACGGTGAGCCACGCTATCTTTTCGTCTGTCGACTCCCGTCAGTCGGGGGCTCGTCGGACTTCGCTGACGGCGCCTCGCGCCCAAGGCGAACGCTCACCCGCTGTTTGCTCCGCTGCGTACGCACGGCCGAAGGGCGGTACGGTGTCCTAGTGCGTGGCCTCGCTACGCCGACCCGTCTCCCTTCGAAGCCAACGCGAGCGCCTTTGCCCTCGCTCGAGCAACCGGGCCTTTGCTCCGGTGTCTCCGTGGATCAGCTTTACCGCGGAGACGTGCTCGTGGCACCCCTGTGTAGTACTTTGTGCCCGTGGCGTGGATAAGCCTACTTGCTTTCCCGCCGCGCCTATTTGCAACGGGCTGTACTGCGTTTGGTGTTGCCACAATAAAGTGTTGCGACTTGAGCAGTATCGTGTTTCCCGCCACGGCGACGGTTAACGCGTGCCCTGCGGCTCGCTAAGACCGGACCCACGCTGGTGGCCGTACTCCTTCGGGATACGTGTACACCACAACTTTCATTATTTCAAATTTTGTTTAATTCGAAATTGCTCAGCGTTCCCGTGGAATTCAAATTAACGAGCTTTTACTGTACTACTGTTAAGGCGTCTCCTTACATCTTACATTACAAAACACAGAAGTAGGTTGACAGATAAGAAAGGATAAATTACATATTTATAATTAATTGCTGGTTTACATTTTATGAAAACAATGACATAACATCTGTTGAGATAATTTTTATATAGTACTACATCTGGGATAGATGCTTTACAACTGAGGCTCTGTAGAGGCCATGTACTCTGCATTTATGTGTTGTCGAAAGTATATACAGTAATTAGCGGTAGGGTATCTCGCTGTAGTCTTCATGGAAGAATGTCCTAACTAAATTTTATATTTCATATATGATGTGACCACTGCAGTGGCCCAGTCGTTATAGTGCTTGACCATTGACCCGGAATGTGCGGGTTCGATTCTGGCCATTGTGGTCACAGTTGAGGCCGAATGCTGGAGACCCGTGCTCATCCCGAGGTCTGTGCATGTCAAAGAGGTCCCTAGGGGATCGAGAACGTCTGCAGTAGGCACTATGGTGTGTCTGATAGCCAGTGTTTCTGGGCGTTCGACCCCCAGCAAACAAACAAACCATCGTATTGCATTTGCGCTTTTCTTTTTTAACGGTATAAGAGCTTGGTGGCTAACGATCTTTCGAAATTGCTATTGTCCACTCTCTTGAGCTCGTTCAAAAAGTCATTTAGGGTTGAGAATCGAATGAAAGTGGTACACTTATTCATATCATACTACGAGTAGTGGGATATTGACTCCACATAATGTCAGATCAGTTCTGTTCTGAAATTCACAAAACCTTACTTCGGCGTAATGACCATTAACAACCAGTCTGTTAGCACGTAGCTATCAACAGAAGTAAAGAATAAATGATTTCTGTTTCAAGGTATCTGCAGAAGAACTGCTTGTAACAGGCCTGCCTCGCTACTGCACCTGCAATGTTTTGAGAACAAAATTGAAGTTGGCTTTTCTAAATGGAAAAAGTCTGTGTCGTAACTAGTGCCCTCCGCTGCGTCTTCCAGCGTTCCGGCGAGGCAAGCACGGCCCATCGCTAGCGACCAAGCTGCTCAAGAAGCCCAAGCTTCGTCGGGCGCGCAAGCGTCAGCCCATCAAGCAGCCCTCCATGAATCCCGGGGACGTGCTGGTCACCGAGACCCTGGCCACTTACACCACTGCCCAGGTTGTCTGGCAGGTGAGGGGGCGCCACCTAGCACTACTGTCTACAGCCTCATTCATTCGCTCATTTCCATGCCAGATGCCTACTTTGTTCTTGTGTATGCCCCTTCGGAGTCGAATTATGACCCACTTCGTGCAAACGTGTCTAATTTGCATGGCATGATTCCAAGGGACTCAGTATTACATTCCAAGAAGGAAAAATAAGGACTGTTTTGTTTTGCACGACTTTGTTATTAACATTAATTAACATGTGATTATCTAATTATTAATCAGTTAGCTGGGGTGTTACATTAAAAATATGAAATATTAGGCCCAAGTGCAAGCACAGCTTGTTTTTTTTTTTTTGCATTCATTTCAAGCAAAAAAAAAAAACACTTGACATGGGTCCTGGAAGACGGCACGTCAACTGGTCATTGAACATAGTATTGTCGCCATCCATGTGATCCTCTGTAGCATTACGCAGAATGAAGAAGCTAAATGACTGGTATTTGTTCACTCATGAAGCCTGCATGAATGTCCACATGTATCAAGCCACTTGAACAAGCATACGTTGCGTGACGTGCCTCTAAATTTGATGTGTGCGATTGTACATGCTGCCGCTGAAAGCGATACGTCATTCCAATAACTTCATGTTTTCTAGATCCCATCATACAGTATGCAAGGCCGTCAAACAGTTTAAAGGGTCAATAAAGTCAAATAACAACTTACGTCAGAGTGAAAGCTCAATGTATGACAACATCTAAAACGACATTATTATCGACAACAGTGCCCCACTTACCGAGAAGTTAAGGTAAATGCACAAAACCACATGGGACACAGTAGGACATTCTCGAATTGATCCCGACGACATCAGACAGACCGCCTACAATTAATCACTAGTAGTTGATCTAGCTGCACTAAGTATAGAACCTTGCATGCATCAAGAGGTGCAATAAAATGCTGTTTGTTCATTTCCATTTGATTCATTAAAAAAAGAGCTGCCGGAGGTTGCTATGGGGAATGGCGTGAGTGGTTCATCAATTCAATTTTCGCAAAGTTACACTGGACAGGTGGTGCCATCTAGCGAGGTGCAGTTGACCCTAAAACGTCTGCAATCTCGGAGTTAATGGAGGAAAATTGATCAATGGCCGTTTTTGCTGCTGTGGCTCCCGCTGCTTTCGGTCTGCGTCTACTAGCGCAGTAAAGCCAGGCAACGTGTACGGCAACAGAGACGCGAGTAGGTCCGGTCGGTCCGCTTCTCGAGGCGGGCAATTTGAAGTGCGCTAACCTGATGCTGACCACTAAAATGTGATTTTATTTCAAAATAGGCCCTTCCTTGGCACAAAAGTAACGCTGTGAGGTTTCTGGACTGCTATGTCAATAATCAACATCGACCTAATAGTTTTCAATTTTGCTGTCAGGAGTTCCTTGAAGTCCTTTCCCCATCTTGTAATGCCTGGTAGGGCCTTTAGTGTATGGCAGTAAATAAACAAATGAAATGAAAACAAGGAAAACAATGTTGCAAAAAGGAACAAACACTATGGAGTCCACCTGCTCTAGTGACATCTGGTGGGTCCTTCTGTACCGCGCGCAGCTCGTGGACGCCGTTCACTGTCAGGGTCTATAATGAAGTTATTGATCAAGCTTCTAGTCAACTGTTACGCTAGCACTCAATAGATGCCAATAAAATTGGTGGAGGTGCTGTGCCCAGAAACTTAAAGCTTATTTTTGGTTTTGCAATGACAAATAAGGGAAATAAAAAAGTTTGTTACTCAAACAAATTGAAGCTAAGCCATTAAGTCACAAGCTCACCGAAATATACCACACTCATGTGCTTCTTAGCAAGTACAGACATTCTTTGCACAAAAGTAGATTTTGTGCTTGTAACAAATGAGAGTACTGTTTTCAGCATACATTTGCAGCAAAATAAAATACAACTGATGGAAAAGTTAGTTCTCTTGGTTATTTTGTCTTTAATTTGTATTTGAAGCTGTGTATTCGTATTCAGTTTTTTTGGAAAGAATTGTTTGTTTATTCATTATTGCAGGACGGCAGTGTAGAAAATGGAATTCCCTCTGCAGACCTCTACCCCATCCACCACTTGGATGGCCACGAATTCTTTCCTGGGGACTTTGTTGTGGAAAACACAGGTATATTGAACAATGTCACGGGGGGGGGGGGGTACTTCTAGCTTATTTGACCTATTCTTTCTGTAGGAATTATTGTATGGGTTTTTGTTGGCATCTGAAAGCTTCCTTGCAGAAACTTCTCTGGTGCGAGGCCACTGATTAGAGGGAGCATTTCTTCAATAAGTGAGCATTTCTGCAAAATGCTCACTTATTATGTTGAAACTCTTGTCAGTTGAGATACAAAACTGGCATTTCGAAGCTCTTTATATGCTTCTCTGTCTTGGTTTACGAGATGAACTTAAATGTAATGTGTAACACTCAGTAACCGCTGCCAAAGGCACGAAATAGAATGCAAATTGCAACCATATGCTGATTATCTTCTAATCAATCATCTGTTGCTCATGCTTACTGTATTCCTAATCACTGTTGACTGTTGGGACCTTGAAAGTTGCACTGGAAAGCTTCTGTTTGATAAGTTCATTTTTTTTATTTCTGCTGAAAATCACTTGCAGTGTTCTACAGTCGCTATAGTTGTGACTTTTAAATCGTTGTCGGTCATTTTGTTTTCAGACACCCCTCCCGCCCATGAGTACGCAGTGGTCAAGAAGGTGGACCACTCTGGAAGAACGGCGGTTGTGACAAAATTCAAGACCTACATGGCCGGCGCAGACCCCCAGTGAGTTAATCTTGCCAATCTCTTGTGTTGCCATTAGTGATTAAAAACGAGGTTTGATCTTTGAGCTCTACATTGACACCATGAAAGAGATCATGATTAAAGTTGAAAACTGGAACACGTATTGAGCCCTAACAAACAGGGACATAAGAAAGACGAAAACATGATATCAATGCTGAAATTGAGAAGTCTTGAAAAAAGCAAATATGAATTTCTTGCCATAACAATTCAGAACAACCACTGGTTCTGTGTTGTTCTCGGTAGTCTGTATTGTGAATTCATGCCCATTTACTAATTCGTGCCAACTAAATTCATGCCCACTTACTGCCATCAAGTGTTCAAATCACCACAGCCACTACTGAAATGAATGAATTGTACATTTACTGAGTATTTGTGCTGCAATAGGTGGTAGTGGGGGCATGTGTGTATGTGCATTAATCACGAAAATGCATTGTCTTGTTACGGTGACTCCTTTCCAATCTCGCATGTGGTTAGCTGCGTACGGTTGGCCATGCATAACTTGATTTCCTATGGTTTGATGCGTAACGTTGGTGGCCTCTGGTGGGCTGCGGGCGGTCGCTAGCACATTGTTGGCTGTGTGGTTTGTTGCTTATGTTTATTTGCGTACAGTTTGCTTCCTAATGCCTTTCTGGCAATGAAGCTGACTTTCCGGCGTGTTCGTTGGAACATTTGAAAAAATGGTCCCCAGAAATGTCACCTGGAGTTGTTGTTAATAACAACTCGACAACAGAAAGAAAGGTTATCGCTAAGCACACTGGATACTCGCTGCATGGAAATCGTTCACCGGGACTCCATTTTCTTGTTTGCGCTCTCAGCCCCGAAGAACTCGGCGTGGAAGAGGTGAGCGTCTACGACATCAAGGACCATCCAGATTTCAAGTACAGGCCCGCGTCCTGCGTCATCAGGGTGGCCAACTTTGAGGTGAGTTTCGCTGTTGCCATTGCTTCACATGGGTTATTGCGTGTGCTGATCTCTCGTCTTCTCACAACGAATAATCGTAAAGGTTAAATCCTAAAACCATGATATGATTATGAGGGATGCTGCAGTGTTTCAGTCTTAAATTATCACTATTTAGGGACTACTATTAGGAAAACTTAGGGACCATGAGTCCCTAAATTTTGACCACCTAGGGCTCGACGTGTACCTAAATCTAGGCACACAGGTCTCTAGCGTTTTTGCCTCCACAGAAATACAGCCGCCGCAGCCGGGGCTCAATTTGAACTCGCGCCATTCTTTATGGCTTGCATGCTTTACTTACACATGTTTAATTGTCCCTTGTGGTTAGTTTACAAAGTGGCAAAGTTTACCATTGTAAATAAGTTTACCGCCAGAGCTGCCTCCTGTGTTTTTCACAGGAAAAAAAAAAAGAAACCTCATTAGCACCACATCAATCTCTGGCGCATTGATGCAGTCGGAAGGGCGATGCCCTGCGCAGGACAAGGAGTCCGAATCGACAGCGGGCCAGGTGGTGGATGTCCACCCGGCGGGCAAGGTGGAGGTGCAGTGGGTGAGCGGCAAGACATCGCTGTGCTACCCACAGGAGCTGTACCGCATCGGTGAATACGACTCGGACGACCTCTGGGACGACGGGGACGAGGAGGGCGACGACGAGTCCTGCTCGGGTGACGAAAGCTGGGAGACCCAGTCGGAGAAGTCACTCGTCGGAGACCTGTAAGCCTGCCTTCCGCCACTCCGCCACTGAGTCTTTATTCTTTTGCATTCCCCCCCCTCCCCGACCTGAACATTTTACTGAAATGTCTATACAGTAGTAGGCTTGTGCGAATGGCGAATTTGAGGCTCGAAGTGAATTCAAAGCCAATAGTGAATTTGATCGAATAATTTCGAATCGAATTTGAATGGTATGCCTGGCATATTAAAAAAAAGGGAATATTTATCATGACCTAACTAACCTGCACAATATTTCTTCTGAATTGAAATAGGGGCTCTATGCAAATGAAATTTTTTTTTTGTTCACAGGAAGTCGAAACAACCTTGAGTAGTACTTTGGTAGGATGGGAGTGATAACCTGTAAGATACTTAATGTTTTATTATACTTGGATCACATAAGCTGTCATAATAAGCTCAATAAAATGAAGAATTGATTTGTGGGTAACATGTTCCTTTAAAGGGGCCCTGCAACACTTTTTCAAGTAGCCATGGAACCAGTAAACATGCTTGTTGCCTCACAAATTCACTGCAGGAAAGTTTCTAGAATCAGTCCAGTACTTAGCGGAGTTCCAAAAATTTGTTGCACGCTGCAATTGCATTCTCTCTTCTCATCTTGACGAAATAGCTGGAAGCTAAGCAGGAAGGAATGGCACTGCAAAAGAAAATACTCCACACGCACCTAGTGACTTTGAGCACCTCTTTTTTTTTTTTTCTTCGAATATGTGGCTCTTTAGTGCGAGCGCGCACATACTCTAGGACAAGCGGCGACCTCCTGTGGCAGCCCCGGTAACGATGAGCACACCATGCTCAAGTGAGCCAATGACTGTGACCAGAGCCGTATATTCCTTGTTGGCTGTGACAAGTGATTTTTGAGCTTGTAGAGGGAAGAAAGCAATTTGCCGATGGAAGAAAGCAATTTTTATCTTTGAAAATTTATGGTGAATTACAGGCTGCGTGCTGCACTAAAATATTTGCCTTGCGTGTTCTCGGTAGCCTCGAATACCGGTCAGCAGCATTTTCTGACCATGCTCAGTTAGTGTTGCAGGGCCCCTTTAAATTTGAAGGGGGGCTTCGCGGCAAAGTGAATTTGCCCTGGATAGGTGCACTCCTACATTGCAGTTTAGCACTCCTACATTGGCTTAGCACTCCTACATTGCAGTAAAACCACCTTGCAGGTGGTTACATGCAGATTAATATACACTTATTCGTTCGTTGCGACTACTTCGAAAATATTCGATAACTTAAATTCGAATTGAAGCGAATTCGAACACTAAACTATTCGTTCGAATATTCGAAGCATTCGATTATTCGCACAAGCCTATACAGTAGTAGCAGTAGTAGTAGTAGTTGTCCACTGAAATTCTATTGGCTGAGCCTGCAGGTCACATGACCTTGCTTTCAACAATCTGGTATAAGTGCACACATAGTGGCGCATCACGACATCCTGCTAACCAATCATATAGACTTGCGCTGTTCTAACCATGCGCGATCACACTAGCGAATCGTGTAGGTTTGCCTGATTTGAGATAGGTAGACCTCATATGAGAAGAAAATTACCCTACTCAAACCACCGGGTATGAATAGGTCTCGTATAGCACTGCCGATAGTCGTGCTGCTTACGAGCAACACTGGAACATACAGTCGAGCCCACATAACGGCCCCACTTGAAACGAACTTTCACTTAAAACGAACAATATCCGCGTGACCGTGAAAATATGCATTGGTTCAATGGTACAAAATCGTACTTGCAACGATCGTCTCCAAGCGCCGCTGATCAGTTACAGCGAACGGAGTCAGCGGTTTGCCGACCTCCCGGGAAACCAATTTTGACCACCGATCAGGCATCGGCGAGGTGCCCATACATTCTTATTGTTAAACGACGACCCTGCCTTCACGACCCTCTAGTTGCCGCTCTCCCCAACCCATGGAGGAAGGAAAGTTGTTTCCTTTCTCCATGCCCTGACTTTTTTGTTACGCACCCCTCCATCCTTTGTCGCCCCACTACTCTTAGCACCCCGCATCGCCAGACGAGGCCCGTGTTTTCACACTGCCACCGATCTTTCAAAGACCAGTCGGTCATCTACCCGGTTTTTGATCACTGGTACTGTCGTTGGCATCGCCGGCCTGGAGTTACGAAACCATTTGCCAACATCGTCGGGCACCGATTGTATCCGAATAGTCTGCGTCTAGTGCACGCGCGTACGCTACTCCACCGACTCTGATAATTTGCGATTCATTTCGTGCTTAGGACTTGTTCTCGCTCACTTCGCACTCGGCTAAGCATGCCTTCTGCGCGCGTGTGGATACGTGAAAATGGCTGTTAATTTGCGCGGAACGAAGCCCGAAATCTCGAAGTTCGTCGGCACAACCGCCGGCACAACGAAACGATTTTTTTACTACGGCCGCCGATTCTTCGAACACCACCTCGCGCACCGATTCAAGCGGCCATGCACACTTTCCAAGTTTTTCTACGTGCGAGTTTCGCGGACCTTTCAAGCAAGCTACCCAACCTACCTCCTTCCCGTGTGTTTAGGTTTTCGAGGTGGCCCTCCTGCCGCATCCTCCCCTCTCTTTATCGCAACTCCTTGCCCTTTTCTCGCAAGTTTGCTGTTTTCTCTTGATCACATCCCCTTCGCCCGTCTCCACTGCTCCGCCACGCTGGCTCAAGTTAGTTTCGTTTTCTGAGTGGAAACCGGCCCAGAGCTGTTCCACGCGTTCTGGCATGTGTGTCACGTGTGCACGTCTTGCTCGCTTTTGGTGTGCGTGGTCACGATGGCCGACGGGAGGACTAGCACGCTTTTTCATGCCGCTCAACAAAACGTCGAAAGTGTGACCGCTTGGCTTGAGCGTAATCCGCGCGTTAGGTGCCGCATTGCGGAGCACTTGCTCATAGCTGTTGACCACCTGGCAGCCAACTTGCCGCTTCGAGGGTCCCGGTATTCAGCTGGGGAGATGGTGAATATTTCGTGGGCAGCGGTGATGACTACATGCGTGCGAAACTGTTTTCGCGAGGCCGACTTCGTCGACATCGGGCCCGATGCCGAGCCTGAAGCTTCCAAACTGCGGCGGCGATTTGTGGCAGCGCGTCCTCGACTCCGACCTGGGAGAGCGAGTAGGACATCTGTTGCGATGGTTTAATTACGGCCGTTGATGGTGCCGACACTGCGGAACCGTGCACGGATCGGGACATTTTGAATGAAGTACGTGGCGAGAGCGATTTGGAGGAATCAGATTGCGAGAATGACGAAACTTTTGAGTCAGTGCCTCATGCAGCTTATGCCACGGGCCTCGGCGAACGAGCACCCTGCTGTTTTAAATGTATGAACTCGAGACCACCCTTATCGCTTCTGCTCTTTGAAACACGTGCATCACGGACTTTTTGGGGCAAAAAAAGTTTGTGTTTTCATTCACAGCTTTTTTTTAAAAGCTGTGTTTCATTTACTACGAACTTCGGGATACAGCGAACGGATGCCCCGTCACGCTCAGGCTCGTTATAAGCGGGCTCGACAGTACTTGGCCACGAACGGGTACGAGTTCACTGTGCCAAAGACGCAGCGTTGCAAGAGTGTGAAGTGGCGTTATGTGAGTTGAGATAGGTAGACTTCGTGTAGTCTGCACCATTGAGGAGTACTGTATTTACTCGCATATTATCCGCACTCTTTTTTTCAGAAAATCCGGCTTGAATTAAGGGGTGCACCAAATTGAGGGTAAAATTTTCAAAAAATTTTTTCGACTCTGTTCTCTCACTAAATCTGCACATTTGTCAAGTAAAAGGCGACTTTATCATTTAGCAATTAATTCAGCATAAAACAAATATACCTATGTACCTTTTAATGAACAAGCAAGAGCCGTCAACTGCACACACACATGTAAAATTTATTTACACAAAAGTCGTAGGTGTTCCTCCTTTTCCCTATTCGGAGTCCGAGTTGGAGAGCACACATTCATCGTCGCTGAGCGGGGATTCTTTTTCGGTGTCCGATTCATCCGCACCCGACAACATGTCATCCTCACTCGCATCCAGTGCCTTCGAGATACCCGTCTTCTTGAAGCTTTTCTTGACGACTTCGACGGAGATCACCTGCCACGCTTCTACGATCCATGCACACAGCATTTCCACAGGCGGCCTCTTAATCTTACCACCTGGAGTCAGCTGATGTTGTCCTCCAGCCATCCAGGTGGTGTACAGCCTTCGAACATTGTCCTTGAAAGACTTATTCAAGGACACGTCCAAAGGCTCAGTATCGTTGTGAGGCTGCCCGCAATCACTGCCAGATCTATGTGCAGCTCCTTTAGCTCATCTTGTACGCGGTCTACTAGGTGCCCACGAAAACTCTCCAGGACAAACATGGACGGGAACAACAAACTACCTGGCTGCCGACCCCAGACTGTTTTCACCCAATCCACCATGAGTTCCGCGCTCATCCATCCTTTTTCCTTTACTCTGACGTGGATGCCTTGAGGGAAATTCGCCAGTGAGAGCGTCTTACATTTAAAAGTAACGTAAGGCTTGCACCCATCCGTTGTCACTGCCAGCATTATGGTGCATCGTTGTTTACAAGCGCCAGACGTTCCGACGATGACGCTCCCTGCACCTTTCTTCTCCACTCTGATGTTTCGTGGAATATCAAAGCAAAGGGTCTTGTCGTAGCTCCCGTATATGCCGGACCAGTTGCTCTTCGACGTTCAGTGTTTCCTCAATGCCGCTGTTGGCATTGCGGACAGCCCGTTGTGTCTTCTTCGTCGCCTTAAGTTTTTCTTCTTGATGCCTCTATTACCGAAGACTGGTTTCTCCAACACCGAAATGCCTGTTTGCAGCTCTGTTGCCATGCTCTAGCACGTACTGAACTGCCTTTTAAATCCAGCAGTGTAGTTTGCGTACTTCCCCATGATGTAACCAAAGTTGAATACATGACCACAACGTACGCACACCGTTTGCAGATCGAGCCCCCGGCGTTGTACACGTGACCGCCAAGGACCGCGACGATTTTGGGGGGTATCAGTAATTGATGGAACAGCCATTTCTTTTTTTTTTTTTCGATCATGGACGCTTTTTTTTTTTCAAGTTTTATTTTGACAAACACGTTGGTTAGCCGTCGCACTTCGAATTTTTTTTATTTGCTCGTCGATTCGCCTTCTTTTTGTCTTCAGGGTACGGGGACCGCGTTCCAACTGTACCGCTGGGGGGTAGAATTGTTTCTGATCATGGCCAAGTTCAGGGTGCGCCTATTATGCGCGGAATAAAAAAAAATCGAATTTTCCGTGACCAAACTATCGGTGCGCCTATTATGTGAGTGCACCGATTTGGCGAGTAAATGCGGTAAGCTGCTTACACTCTGTGTAAGACAGCTTAAAGCAAATCACCTACCAGTTAGCAAAGTGACTGGCAGTTGAACGTTGATGTGATGGCAAAAGGTACACCAACTCAAACGTTTGATAAAGATGTTCTAGTTTCCATACAGAAACCCCATTTACGAAAGTCGGTGCTTGTCATTTCTTTTGTTATGTTTTATATAGACTAGATAGGCTCTAGACTTTACCTATGTTTTTCTGTGCTTTTCAGAATGGTCAGGTCTAAGCTCAGCCTTCTGCGATCCCCCGCTGCTATGCCACTTAACTCATATTTTGTCTTGTTATACTGTGTGAATATTGAAACTTTTATATGAATCCAACGGGAATGAAACAGTCTTCAAATGCCATTTTGAATATGTGTGTAATATTAACATGTTTTGCATTTCTAATTTCCCTATGTTGCTATAGTGTATATAGCATTTTTGATGATTACCTTATTGTATCTTTTAGCAAGATGCAAAACTGCATTCTGTGCTGCTCATTGCTTGCTTGAATATTTGGAGTTCGTCAGAGCGTACGGTACCTTCACTGAATTATCAGTCCGGGTTGAACACTTTGTAGCATTCATATATACATATTTTTAATGGATTAGGCTTCAGATAATGGCACAATCCTAGCTTACTTCTGAAGTTTTTTAATTGTCATCTTACCTTGTTATTTTGCACAGGATGTCTCCGGAAGACACAAATGCACCGTCAGAGCTTATCGAACCGCCGCCCATCGATGGCGACGCCACCAAGGACGACATCTCCGCTGTGGTGGAAGCGGCAACAGCCGCGGCACAGGCGCCAGTTGATCCTTCGGATCCACAGAGCCTCCGCGCCAAGATGCAGGGGCAGATCGAACTCCTGCGGCTCAGCATGGCTCGGCTAGAAGAAACGTTCACGCAGAATCCTGGGCAGCAGTCGTGTTCGGTCATCCGTAGGCTTCTAGAGTTGTACAGGCATTGCAAGTGAGTCGATGAGACCTCAGGAAGCAAATCAATCCAGCAAATAGTGAGGTTAAGAAAACCATAGTGGATTAAATTGCAGTAATTGGGATGTAAATTGAAGAATCACACTTTTTGTTGGCGACATCCAAGTCTATATACCTCAAATTATGCGTTTGAGGCTCTAGTACTATTTGTGCTTCAGCAAAAGGTGCTTTCTCGTTCATTTCATTGGGTGTTCTTGGAGTGTTGGCCAGTGCCACTCCTACCAAAGGCGGGGAACAAAGTTAGTTAGATTAATAAAATTGAATGAACTACAAGTAAGTGAATTAATGGATTACAACTTGGATGACAATGTACACATCATTTTATTTCAGTTTACATCATAATTACTACACTATAGTTAAAGACAACAATTGATGTCCCCATGCTTTCCTTACCCCAATTGTCTGTTGGACTCATTTTGCTGCCTTGTAAATTTATGGCATCGTCAAGATTTGATTCGATTTGATGTTTATGAGATGAACTTATGCTCGGCAAAAGGGACACTCGCGGTTCAAGCAAGTCGTGGTACAATGATTGCAGTCAGTGTGGTCGTCGGTCACGGATAATCTGATAATTAGTGAAACACATCAGCTTTTACGTATGGAATCGAACATTCCAGCATTATTGCTGGTGCTTGCCTTAGTTCCAGAACCAACCCTACTTGTGTACTTGTGCCTTCTTTGTACGTGCCTCTTGTGCTGCTATTCAAAATTTAACTCCTGGCATCACGTGTAATCCTACAGGACATTAAAAAGCAATCATAAAGGTTCCTAAACATTTTTGCAGGGCCTGCACTGAACAATAGTACTTCAAGTGCAAGCTAATGACATGAATTCTCACTGAACGCTAACATCATTCTCTGTAACATTATCTCGTAACGTCATTCTCTGTGTACCCAGGCACTTTGACCAGCTACTAGGAACCAACTACTTCCAGCAACGGCACCTGCACGTGCTTGTGGAACGCATCCGGCAGCGGGGCCGCATTAACAGCCCCCAGCACGTGTCCGAACAGATCACCCGCCTCTTCTCGGCCTCCCTGGACGCCGCCCTGCACGATGAGCTCGGCACGCCCGACATCCCCGAGGAGAACATCATCAACGAGCAGTTGCAGGTGCGTGCTGCCACTTCGCCTGTTTGCTGGTTTCAACAGAGAAGCTGTTTTTTGTTCCTTGGGGTGACCAGAAAACTTAGCTGCACCGATCACGTGCAATGCAATAGCTCCACAAACGCATGCTTTCTTTGTCTTCTTCATCCCGGGAATAATTATTTGAGAATTCACGTACATTTGAGAAACGAGGATGGTTATAATACACTTTTCTGTATTTTCTAGCCATTTGATGAATATTAGGGTCGGTGGCGAGCACATCCGTTGAGGTTGGCAAGATAAATGTACATACAGGTGTTTCTTCACTGTGGGGCTCCTGTAGAAACGAAAAGAAAAGGACAAAACAGATAAACGAGAGAAAACAGAGGAAGGACTAGACAAGAGCAGTGAGAGAGAACCTTGCTAATTAAGACATTTATTATTAGACCATACTAAAGAACAAGCTAATCAGGGTCATGGTAATTAAGACCTAACTAATTATCTAATTTGTCCTCAAGCTTCGATATTAGTTCAGTTTTGCTCCATTAGGCCAACCTGGCCTGTTTTGATTTTTATTTCATTTTTTTTTTCAATTCAATCTTGCATTGACATTTGGAAAAGACCCTCTTGGTCCACAGATTGTCAGCAGCTGAGAGTGAACATCGGAGTGTTTGTCTGCACTACTTGCCATCGTGGCTATGAGTTTTACTAACACTGCAAGGTTTACGTGCATATATATATCCATGAAGTGTAAAATGACCGTCGCTGTAGCTCCGTTGGTAGAGCATCAGACGCATTGCGTGCCATTCGCAAGTGTGGTCCTTACCGTTTTAATTTTGTCACATTTATACTGTGGTTACTACAAATAATGTCCGCTGTACATTTCTTGGATTAAAAGCCTGTTGGTTGTCAGCAATACTGTGTGTAACAAAAAAAAGCAAGCCCTTGTAGTTCTGCTTCTCATGTAAAGGTCACACACCATAATATAAGAAAACCTGCATTATACAGGTCATTTTGTTATGGAAAGCATTTGGTGGTGGTGCACTCGACTGTACTTGTGTTGGTCTTCATGCGTGGCACAATACTGCAGGCGTCGGAGGGTGCGCAGTCGCCACCGCCGACGCAGCCGGCCAAGGAAGAGACGGGTATCCAGCACCTTACGAACCCGCAGCCACGGAAGCCCACAAGCGTCAGCTGCCGACTGGAAGGCAGTGGAGGCGGCTCGCTCGAGCCGCGCAACATCTGCCAGCAGTTGTGTGCCATACTCAAGGCGAGGTTGCTGCGAGCACACGAGGATGTCCAGGTGTGGATTTGCGCAGTTTGGGCCCTAAAGTAAAGGCTGATTGAAAATGTACTGGTGGTTTAGTTGGTTGATAATTATAGCCTGTGGCAGCGCACGTTGGGTGAAAGGATGTCGCGAAACACAGAGCGCTTGTGTGCGTCTTTTTTCGTGTGGTCCTTTCACTTGACTTTTGCTGCCGTGCACTAAATATGGAATCTTAATTGAAACATGGCACTTTAAGAAAATTATTTCATGGTCAATTTTGAGGAATTCTGGTGAGCTTACCGTATTTTCTCGCATATAACCCGCACCAAAAATTGAAAAAAATCGCCTGAAAAGTGGGGGTGCGGGTTATCTGCGAATAATCCGGAAGCAGAGGTCGGCTTCACGGCAATGCATAGCCTGCCGTGCAGTCCGCATCCCCATCGGCATCGTCTGGTGCAAAGCCAATAAAAGCCAACATAGGCCATAGACAGATCCCGTCCGTAGCGTGTTTATTCACTTTTTGCGTGCTTTGTTTGATTTGGTCAACAGCGTCACAACAGCGATTTGACAGCGTCTGTCTCAGAGTCAGGTGTGGCCAGTTTGCACCGTTGGTCAGCTTTGTCTGGTGAGGCACCATGAGTGGGTCTCGGCGACAATCTTTCACCGCGAAAGAAAAACTCGCGATTATAGCTGCTGCGGAAGAAATCGGCAACAGAGCTGCTGCGAGGAGGCACGATGTCGACGAGTCCTGCATTCGCGACTGGCGAAAAAAAAAGGCCTCTCTCGAAAGTGCACACAAGCAGAAGCGAGCATTTCGCGGCCCGAAGACTGGTGCGTACCCCCTTCTTGAGACGCAGCTTGTCAAATTTATTGAGGAGCGGAGGAGTCGCGGCCACGCTGTGTCAACGGAGATGGCGCAGATGGAAGCGCTGAGGTTGGCCCGCGAGATGAACATCTCACGCGAGTTTCGTGCGAGCCGTGGATGGCTCCAGCGATTCATGGCCAGGCACGGATTTTCGATGCGGCGGCGAACGACTATGTGCCAGCGGCTTCCCAACGCCTACGAGGATAAGCTGTTGAGCTATCAACGTTACGTCATCGGGCTGCGGAAGGAGCACAACTACTTGCTCTCCCAGGTGGGAAATGCCGATCAAACGCCCGTGTACTTCGAGATGCCCATGGACACCACTCTGCAGAAAAAGGGCTCGAAATCTGTAAGCGTACTGACGGGCGGAAACACCAAACTACGCTGCACAGTAATGTTGTGCGCTTTGGCGGACGGTACCAAACTGCGCCCGTATGTAATCTTCAAGCGCAAAACGCTACCCAGCACTCCACTGCCACCAGGGATTGTTGTGCGAACCGAAGATAACGCGTGGATGAATGGTGACCTCGTCTGTGACTGGCTTCGCACGATCTGGGAGAAGAGGCCGGGCGCCATGTTGGCACGGCGGTCGGTGCTGGTGTTGGACTCGTTTCGAGGCCACTGCACTGACGCAGTGAAAGCGCGCCTCGCTGACCACCGCACCGACCTCGTGATCATACCCGGTGGCATGACTTCCATGCTACAGCCACTGGACGTGTGCCTCAATAAGCCGTTCAAGGCGCACGTGAAGCGGCTGTATGCCGAGTGGATGGCCGACGGCCTTTACGCCCTCACACCGACGGGGCGCGTGCGGAGGCCAGACATTGCGCTGCTGTGCCAGTGGATCGTGGATGCGTGGGGGGCGATTCCGGCCGACATGGTGCGCAAGAGTTTCAAAAAGTGCGCCATCAGCAATTGCTTGGATGGCACCGAAGATGATTGCGTCTTCGAGAGCGGCGACGAAGCCTCGGATGGCAGCAGCGACAGCGGCGAGTCGGGCGATGATTGAAGGAACGGGAATCGGCGCCGTCAACGTTGCGGCGATCGCTTCGAAATAAAGTTCTTTTGTAAACGAGATTGTGACTGTGACTTCCCAAAACAGTTTTTTTTAAGCTAAGCATGCGGGTTATACGCGAGGATTTTTTTTCTTTTTTCGGGGAGTTCAAAGTTAGGGGAGCGGGTTATATGCGAGGGCGGGTTATATGCGAGAAAATACGGTATGTACATTTGTGTGCTGGTTTCCCATATGGAAAGATTTTTCTTGTGTAGTGTGTACTTTTTAAAATACAGGTGATTTTTGAGGAGTAACTTTTTTTGGAAATAAGAGAGTTACAAGGTAAGTCAGCATATCCCAATAATCTTGAATCGTAATTGTGTGCAGTGCAACCAAAATAATGTTCTAAACCCATTAGAAGAAAAGTTATAGTAAGTAGAACACTTGTGTGTGAAATCCCAGCTTGAAATTGACAGACTCGAAAATTGTCAACATTGCATAACACTTGTTCGAATTGGTTTAGAACATCCATTTTTGTTGTAATGCACAAAATTATGATTCCAGATTTTTTTGATATGCTGATTTACTTTCTAACACTCTGTTTAGGAAATATGTTGCTCCCCAAAAGATGCTTCAGACATTTTGTATTTTAAAGAATACTTACTATATTATAAAAATAACTGCAGATTTAAAATCATCACACAAATATACATAAACTCACCAGGTATTATCAATATAAACAAAGAAGTGAACTTTTTTTAAGAGCAGTGTCCCCTTTACAGGAGAACAGTATTATGTAGAGGTAATTGAATATATACAATAGCTTCTTTGCAGAAAATGTATTCAATGGGATCTTACTACTGTATGAGTTACTCAATAATTCGTTACATGTGGTCTGAATATATCAGGGCTTGACTGTATAAGAGCTGCTCCTGTCAAATGCGGTCAAGCACCGACATGAAATCAGAAGCGTTTCACTGGATAGTCTCAGCTCAGAACTGAAGTCTTGTGTGAGACAAATAGCTTTTTGAAAGTCAAATAACTCATTTGAAATGTGTATTTGTGACATATTTGTAACTCATTTGTGAAATCTGTATTTGAGACATGGTGGTGGCAAAATTGTTGTTCATTTACTTTTTCATGATCAGTTGTGATATGGGAGTGGCAAAATTGTTGTTCGTGTACTTTGTTATGATCAGTTGTTAGTTGTATTCGGAAATTTGTTATGCTTGATGCATTGTCAGCACATTGTCAGAGATGTGCGTTGCAGTTTCTAATCTTCGCTGTGGGGCATCTGTGTCGTGGTTAATGTGCAACATTAATAATAATAATTATCATCATCAAATTGCATAGCTTGGCTGTGTTGCAGGGATTCTTGCCCATGGAAATCTATCGTTAAGGAGTCGAAATAAGTTCTTTGTATAAAGACTCATTTATGTCTTTGAGCAAAACTGCAGTTTTTTGTTGCTGTTGTGCACACAAGGTTGCGGTAGTCCTCTGAATTCTTGCTTCTTTTGCAATTCCTTCAAAAATGTCATGTCGCCTTAAAGGGCCACTCGCCAGGCCACATAACAAATTGTAGTTATACCATGGAAGTTGTGTGTTCAATGAGGAGCATTTTGCCACAAAAATTTTTTCAGTCAGTTCATTACGAGCTGAGAAAACTGCTTTTTCGAAGCGCCGGGAAACGAGGATTAGAGGAGGCGAGCTCGAAACCCTTGCCGCTCTTCCGCGTAGCTTTCGCAAGCCAAATCTCTTCCCTACCCTCTTCGGCATCCGGCCAAGAGGTCACGTCTGCATGGCATGCAAGTTTTCGTGCTCGAATTAACTTTTCGAAATGCTCGAGCAGGCACAACCCCTAAGCATGCGAGCGGCGTATTTTTTATTTTTATTTTTTTGCCAGCATTATTTTGTGGTCTACTGCCTGTTTTCGGGATGGTTTGGAAACGCTGGCTGAGACCTTTTATGTGAGCACAATGAATGCGCGAGCACTTAGGAGCATTACTTTCACTTCCACGGCTGTCGTCTGCTCGATGCGCTGACCGAGGGGACAAGAACGCATGCAAAATGCCTGCACATTAGCCCCGCATCTCGTCGCAATTCACAGGAAGAAATGGAAAAAAAAGACGCGCGCATTCCTTTATTGGCATCTCATTATTTATCTAGAGTTTTATTAATCTCTTCAAGCAACAAATTACAAAAACTACGCGTGCCGTGTTAAATAATTTTCGCTATGTCGTGTGCTGCTGTTGGCAACATCAGAGCACAGTCGTCTACGTAGAAGACCAACATCACTGCACTGCCGTGTACGTAGGACCATTCATACGTGCACACTATGCCCTCATTCTCCGGGTGCGCGCCTGTCAAAGAAAGGGGGAGCAGCATTCATCTTGAAATTGGACCCCTTCCCGCGTCGCGTAGCATTGCAAATTCCGGCAGACGTGATCATGAACGCCCCATTTACGCATTGCGTTTGTCAGCTGAAAATTGTCAAACCTGGCGAGTGGCCCTTTAAAAAACACTAAAGGTGAATATTAACTCTGCGTTGATTATTGAAATAGAGCTCCAGAAACTTCGTATAGCGCTGTTTTTGTGCCAAGGAAGTGCTTATTTTGAAATAAAATCGCGTTTTAATGAACCACATCCTGTCAGTGCACTTCAAATCACCCATGTGAAAGCAGTCTTTTAGACATCACTGTTCCCGTGCCCAAAATCGCCCGTCCTTACTACGCGGCTGCGGACACCAGTGGCATCAGAGCAAGAGTAGCGGGAGCCACAGTAGAAACGCGGTCATTGAACCGTTTCCGGCACTCTCGGAGGCCGTGGTTTTGCTTTCTTGGTTTAACTTGGCCCCACTAGATCGTACCACCTATCCAGCCTAACCAGCCAAAAGCTGAACTTTTGAATCACTCGCGCATTCCTCATGTAATGCCAAGCAGTTCTTTTTGCTATAAATCAAATGGAAATGGACAAGTAGCATTTTATTACGTCTCCTGATTCACGGAAAGTTTTTTATTGCGGCTAGTTTGATTGCCAAAGTGGTTTATTGTAGTCGGGCACCCTCGTGTCATCAGGATCATTTTGCATATGTCCCACTCATGGCGCACAATAGGTGACACATTAGGCTTTATCGTTTGGTAAGTAAGGCACTGCTTTTGATAATATTGCTGTTTTAAATGTTGTCATAAAGTGAGATTTCACTCTGACAAATCATTTGCCTCTAGTGTCCCTTTAACGATGACTGTTTGTCAGAACCTTTTGTGAACCATTCTTTATTTTATTTTTATTTTATTTTTTTCAAAACTGCAGCTTCATTTTCATGTGAAAGTTGTGGTAGTCCCGCAATTTTTACCTGAGCAATGCCTTGAAAAACTCTGTGTCACCTTGTGTCACCCTAACAATGACCGTTTGCAACCGTTACAATCATTGCAACCGTTCGATGCGAACGTTGACCTGGCACAGCATGTTGTTTGTTTGTTAGCAATTGTTCTGCTTCCAACCCCCTCACTCACTCATTCTCAGTAATTTCCTCCTGATTTTGCGGCTTTGTTCTCAGGTTCGGTTTGGCATGACGCCCGCTCAAGTTGAGATCGCAGCCAGTGACGCTGCCTCTGAGCCGGACGTGGACGTCGCAAAGATGGACGAGGCTCTGGAAGCCGTAGCCACTGTCGAAGCGGTAGTGAAAGAATCTGAGGAAAGCTTTCCAAGAGTCGTCAACGAAGCTGATGACGAGCAGAACAGCAAAGGACAAGGTATTCGCCTTTGTTTTTTTTTTTTTCCTTTTTTGTGAATCTGATTAACCGTACTGTAATCCAAAATTGGTAGGTTTAGCCTTAATAACAGGCAGAAACTCTGGTTTGCAGAGGTAGCTTTATTGCAGTCTCTACAGCTGTGCAAGGAAGCTAGCTTCACAGCAATACTTGGGAATAATTTATAGAAAAATTTTCCACCAATTGCTTAGAATGTGTGTGTTATACGTAAACCAATGCAGTAGTTTGCGAGCGACCTCATCAACTCTAATAACCATTTTAGTGCAAAGCTTTCTGTGGGGTGGGAACTGGGGTTTCAGAAGCAGTTGCATGGGCTGACATAAAAAAAAAGGTTGAGTTTTCTGGGTTAATATGCAATTCAAATGTATTAAACTGTCTTATAATCGCCTCGAAAACCAAGGTCATTTCAATTTTCTTATTCACGTGTGTGCTCGCCCATCATTTCCCGCCGTAGTTATTTTGGTTGTTGCTTCAACGATCTGAACGCCAGTAAATATTTTTTTCTTGGGTCGGTGTCCTTCAGTGTTTTCATTTGTAATCTGAGCCCCCTGAGCACAGTAAAAGGTGTAGTGTACAGCGTATCCCGAAGGAGCACAGCAACTAGAGTGGGTTCGGACTTAGTGAGACGCAGGGCCGTGTTCACCGAAGACGCAGGGCCGCGCTCACCATCGCTTTGCGCGACTAATGCCCCTGCACATGCGCTTTCAAACAGTGGCAACACCAAAAACGCAGTACAGCGCCCGTTTCTAAAAAGCAGTAGGAAAGCAAACGCCACGGGCAAAAAGTACAACACAAAAGGTGCCGCGAGCACGTCTCTGTGGGCAAAAGAGATTCACGATGAAGCGTCGCTGAGGGAAATGGGCCCTCGTGACCGTGCTGCTTGGCGAGAGCAAACTCCACTTGCGTTGGCTTCGAGAGGTACGTGCTGCTGCAGTACGACCACGCGCAAGGACACCGCACCACTCTTTGACCTAACATTCGGAAGTGGCAATGAAAGGGAAATGTCTGCCACGGGCGCTATGCGCTGTTGACGAGTCCGAGCGAGCTCCAAACAAAGAGATCCGGCGAACGGAAAAGAAAATGCGTGCTCACCATTCGTTGTCCCAGAGAGGTCTCTCTGACTGACTCCTGGCGCGTGCGTGAAACGTCCTGAGAGACTTGAGCGCAGCACCACTGTCGACATCCGGGTGAGAGGGGTCATTGTCATTCTGCTCCCTTAGTGCTGACTGACTGCGGAGGAGGAGAGAGTCATGTTAGGACGCAAGAACGGCAACAAAGCCCACGCAATGGCGGCGGGCTAGCCTGAACTCCCACAAAAGGCACCAATCGAGAGTGATTTCACAATTCCAAGGGAGGCCGAAAAATTGGCATTCAGTGTGCTAGCTTTGGGTGCATCCGGGAATAGGGAAAGCAACAAGTGATTCAGTGAGTGGGTTTTTTTTGCACAGGAATTTTGCTAGACTTGTTACCCTAATCGTTCGTTCACACTGTGCCGCCTGGTTCCAGGAGTGTTCTCAATGATGGAATCGGTGCCCGACTGCCACAAGTACAAGCTCTCAATACTGCAGCCAAACGACCCCAAGCTTTTCTTCAAAGTTGTCAAAAAAGAGGTGAGCATGCCTCCAGGTTTTGCTTCCATCGATTTGTGTGTTATCGCCCAGATAAGAAAATGTTAGTCATTGGTGAAACAGGGCATGCCGCTTTGAGGTACAGTAAAATACTATGCTTGGTCATCTTAGTTTGAGCACTTATTCTTGAGGACTCCATTGTAGCTAGTTTGTTGTTTCTCGAGGTGTTTTTGTCTTATTCATTTTGGTTTAGCTATTACTCCAACTTTTAGAGAGTATCCCAATCTGCCGGGGCAACCTCATTTCCACTGAGTATCGCGTTGACCTCGAGTGAATCCAGTTGACGGAATTAGTGGAAGGAATGTGGACTAACAAGTATGTGCAGCGCCACAAAGCCTTTATAAAAGTGAACTGAAATGTCCTTAGAAATGCAACAAGAGGCTACTGTGACATGCTTTCCATTTTTAACTGGCAATCACGCTGAAGTTGAAACCCCGACTTTTTCACAGATCAAGCTTCTCACATCATCCCTACCTGATGGCATTCACGTAAAGGCCTTTGAGGACCGCATGGTGAGTTGTATGCCTTTCTTTGGAGCGCGGAGCTCTCTAAGCATTTCGTTGGGCTGGGTAATGCGAACGGACTCTATATCGTCAGCATGAATCGACACGCGCCCTCTAACAGAAGCTTTGCACTGCTAAGCGCACTAATGACAGTCTGATTCCCAGTGCGGAGAAAGAAAACGGTTTGAAAGGAGCACGGCACAATGCAACGAGAAGAGGGACTGAAGTGGTGTACACCAGGCGCGAGCATGCCGGTCTTCAGTTTCCCGTATTTTTTTATAGAGCAATGGCTGCTTAATTTGTTTTTTGTACACGGGACGCATTAGACTGCCAACTTGAAATTGCAGGACCTGTACTCGGTGCTGATCAAAGGTCCCCGGCGGACACCCTACGAGGACGGCCTGTTCCTCTTTGACTTTCAACTGCCGGCCGAGTACCCACAGTCGCCGCCGCAGTGCCACTACGTGTCGTACTGCAGCGACCGGCTCAACCCGAATCTCTACGAGGGAGGCAAAGTCTGCGTCAGCCTCCTGGGAACATGGAGCGGCAAGGCAAGTGGGGCCTTTGCTTGTCACCCACCATGTCAACTTAGAGTTTTTTTGTCATGGATTCAAATTATGATGGATGTCCAAGTAAACGTCTCATTTATACGAGTTTGTTTCTTAGTGCCCGGCATACCATTTGCAAAAGCATGAAGCAAAGACAATAAAGTAATAACATCGGGAGGTCTTCAAGAAAAGAAGTTGAACTTAAAAATGTGTTCATCTGTAAATTTGCGCGTGTCCTAACAAATTTGAGTACTTATGACATTCATTCTGACCTGCCATGTTTTCATACAGAACAAGTGGTTATTTAGAAAAAAATGTTTGACAGCAGCTCCTACTAATACACTTCAATGGATGCCCAATAGTTTTCACCTTAAGTCGTCGCAGCATTGAGATTTTTCCTCCTTTCTTTCGCTCCATGACTGCTTTTTTCTGTTTGAATTTTGTGGTAATAAATTGGCAGCTCTAAACCGTTGAAGTGCAACCGTTGCCCTCGGAATCGATTAATCTTGGCCTCTGTGTTCTTGGTCGGGCTCCTTGCAGGGCTCGGAAATGTGGTCGGCAGAAACTTCAAGCCTCCTGCAGGTGCTCGTTTCCATACAGGGTGAGTGTGCGGTAGATTGGGGCTCTCACCGGACTTTGCAACTTTGTCGGAGACAATGGTGCTTTGTGCAGATTGAGCGAAGGTGGTGTTGCCTAACATACCACGCTGCATTTTGAGCCTGAAGACGTTAATTGCAACAGCAGCGCCTCATTTCATTGGTTAGAATTTCAACATGTGTGGCATAATCTTGTCAGGTGGAAACTGAGGGGACAAGGAGAAATTAAGGTTCCATTAAAAAAGGAGTTCCGTGTGCTGGAAAATTCAGAATTTAAATACGAAATTAATCGTACTGGATGCAGTTTTTAGTGGCGATTCCATATAAGCAATTTTTTTTTATATTCTACTGCGGTTATTTCTCGGAAGTTGTTGCCAAGCATGACAGGGTTGCTGTCTTGCTTTGTTTCTGCAAATACACCAGTTTTTTTTATTTACACTCAGACCTTATAACAAAGTTGCATCTTACACGAAAATAAGTAAGTTCTTTACGTCTGGAAATTCAATATGGAGGTTTACTCCTAACACTATATCTATTGCAAGACTATTCTTAATTTACTTCACTATAACCGATATTTGGTTATATCTGGTTTTGATATATCGAGGTTTGAGTGTAATTAATAATGAATATATTCATGAACACTGAATAGACTAACATTTACCCTTTACTGTAAGATGTAGTCATTAAAAATTTCATATTTACTTTAAGGAATTTTGCAGCTTTACCAGTTGGAAACTGTAAAATCTGAAGCACGTGAACTTTGTGCATTTTATTTCCTTTCATAGTCTGTCGCTCGTCAATGTCTAATTTTCTCTTTCGCATTATGAGAGCTTAGCAAAATAATGGCAAAACGGCAAATTGTAGACTTGTTAAATATAACGTGCACGACTGGGAAAGTATGTTCCAGGCGTTCCACTTGCTGCGAGATGAACAAAAGTGAGGAATTAGAGCAAAAAACCAATTGTATTAGGGGCAGTTGTTCCGTGTTAAGAATTTTCTGTACACTGAGATTCGACTGTAAATTCAACAGTGTATTCTTCGTTTTTTTACTCATTTCTCAAGTCTTGATCAAAGTAGATTTACTCACGTGATGAACCCACCATTTTTTTTTTTTTCAGGAAATTTGACGCCAATTCAGGGGAAGGGGTTATTACGCGGAAGAAAAAAAGAAGCCATAAGAGCTATAACAGCGAAAAGTTCGCTTGATGGCTTTGCTTGTTTTCGCCCGAGAAATGTGCAACAAATCTTTTTGTAGCCAAAAGCTCTTTTTGTTTCCTCCCGTATCGAAAGCGTATGAATCGACGCCGAAGTGTCGTCCAGCCACTCGGTTCCCATGCTACAACGCATGCTGTTCGTAACCTGCCGTGTAGCGAGCGTGCCGGCCAAACGTGCCCTGCGCAGCAGGTGTCCCAAAAAAGTTCGCAATGACAAACCCAAGAACAAAAACACAGCGTCAGATGGCGGCACACAAGCGTTGTGGCAGACGTTGCGGGTGCACCACGCGCTGTCGTCGCGCTTGCGCTTTGCATGGCCTCTGAGATGGTGTGCGCGCGGCATGTTTCTAAGCCGCACGCCCGTCATTTTGGAGGCCACCCGCTTTGTTTTTGTGCCGCTGCGCTTGGGTGGCACTATCAGCAAAGAGGTTTCTCTTCCATTCAACAGATGGAGCTTGGCCGCAAAAGGCGTGACTTTCAAATTTTGATTAACGTCGTCCACGCCCGCGCTGCTCGCAACTGTTTAGCATGGTTGCAAAACTATGTTTTGACTGTTATTGTGTGTTTATTTTGTGATATGATTTAACGTCGTTTTGATGGTACATGGCACTGGCTATTATAATGAAATAAAATGAACAGATACATTTTAAAAAGTTTTTTTTTTTTCTAAGGGCCAAGGTGGGAGATGGGTTCATTGTGCGAGGGGGTTCAACACGCAAGTAAATATTGCATATTGAACTGGTGTACATGCTTGCAGGTCTCATCCTAGTCTCGGAGCCATACTACAACGAGGCCGGCTACGAGCAGCAGAGGGGCTGCCAGCATGCTTTCGAGAACAGCCGCATGTACAACGAGATGGTTGTGCTCAAGCTGGTGCAGTCCATGGGGCGCATGATCCTGAACCCTCCCGAGGTCTTCAGGGAGGAGATCGAACAGCACTTTAGGGACAATGCAGATAGGTGCGCGTCACTGCCTGCATTCAGTCTGTAAACAACCTCTCCCGTTGTCATTCTTCTGCTAAATGTTGTGCCCTGTGCTGTTATGTTTTCAGGTTTGTCAATCGGCTGGAGGGCTGGCTCAGGCTGTCTGACGCCTGGCACACGAGCTGCCCGGGATCCCAGGCCACTCCCGAAACGCTGAAGGCCTTTGCCGAGCAAGGTTGGTACTGCGCTGAACTGTCGCCCAGGGCAGTAGTCGTTACTGTGTTGGAGACTCACTTGGAAGGCTATGTTTGACTTATTTACAAGCAGATCTGCTGTAGTGTAGTGTCTCTTCAGCCATGACCAGCCTCTTCCCTCTCAGTGGCACACATAGGTCGGCAAACTCGCTCGTGAGTTGGCTTGTTCAGGCTCAGGTCAAATCACGAGTCTGAGTATCAGCGAGTCCGACTAATATTCCAGCGAGTTTGAGTACGAGTGTGTCCAGTTGATAATTTTGGTGAGTCTGAGTCCGAGCGAGTCCGCTCGAGGAAAAGTTTTGGTGAGTCTGAATCTTAGTGAGCGCTTCATGTGAAATACATTTCTCGAGTCTGAGACAACTCCGCATTTTTTGCTATGCCACATTGGCCTTAGCTGTAGTAGTAAAGAAGTTGCGGTGCGCGGCTACTGATCCTGGCCGCGGCAGTCACCTTTCGATGGAGGGGAAATGTTTAGGGCTTGTTCACTGCTTGGACCCTTTGACTGTGTTCACCATACACGTACGGCGGCTGTTTTTTGTCCCGCAGCGTTCTTGCTGTATGGGTATGTTTTCAAACCTCCACTTTAAGTTTGGTGCCTAGTGATGATGCATGTTCACTGGGAGGTTGTTGCCACCTCCTAGGATTTACACAGCATTGGAAATGCTTGTGCTACCTTCTTGTAGAGATGATTAGAAGAGATTTCTAGCGCAAGCGCATAGCACGGTCAGCAGTGGTGCCCCCTCGTGGTTTTTCTCTTGCTGCGTGATTGCAACGGAGGCACTCTAAAGTTGATGTGTATTTTTATGTTTAAATAATGATTATGGTGATGGTGGCTCTGACTGTATATGTGGTGTTTAATGGCACAAGGGTTGATTGCAGCCAGGGCATATTGTAATCTGAAAGCAGTGTTGTGATTGGTGGCAATGGTTAAGTGTAAAGTGAGTTATACTATGTGGGCCCAAGTATGTGTACACTGAATATGTATGATGTAGACATATATTATGGAATGAATAATTGACAATAACCTGTCCATTGCGCAGAGTAGAAGGAAACGCATAACCATTTCTTGAAAAAGAAAGCTTCCAACTAGAAAAATTTGTTCGGGAACTAAACGCTTCAAACCAACGCCTCTCTAGGCCGGTTGCTTTACTCTTTGAGCTAACCAGGCTTCTAGAAATTGGCAGTGAGAAAACAAATTAGTCAGGAACTTGAAGCGCACAGATTGCCCTGCCGCTGTTGTCTAGTGGCTAAGGTGCTCGGCTGCTGACCCACAGGTCGCGGTATCAAATCCAGGCTGCGTCGGCTGCATTTCCGATAGAGGTGGAATGTTGTAGGGCCGTGTGCTCAGATTTGGGTGCACGTTGAAGAACTGCCAGGTGGTCGAAATTTCCAAAGCCCTCCACTACGGCGTCTCTCATAATCGTAGCGTGGTTTTGGGACGTTAAACCCCACATATCAATCAATGAAGCGAACATATACAGGGTATTCAAGATCAGTTCTGTGGAAACCCACAAGGTGGTGGAATGGCTATGAAAGGGATGATTGAAATTGTAAATATATATTTACTGCTTACAACAATGACATGAAGGACACTGCATGCAGCTGTGGTTGAACGCAACTTGCTGTAATCACTCGAATGTAACGAAATTTTTTCATTTTTTACATTTTCACCAACTGAAGTCGACCCACACGTCACTAACACGGAAGTTGTATGTTTTCTTCCTGGACATAATGAAAAGTCGCTCGTCGCGTCATGATCGTGGTCGCTTTACAATTGAGCATGCTGACACCAGGATATTTTTTATGAGAGCGGGCGGGGGGCACTAGCGACAATAGAGTTCCGTCAGTTTCTTGGAGGTGCGGGGGGGGGGGGGGCAGGCAAAAATTTTAAAATAAGGCTCCAGCCTCTTCCCCTCCGGCACCGTGCCTGCAATCGAGTAAATATGGTAAAATGGCAGGGAAACCTGTGCCCAGGTGACCGAAGTGCGGCAGTCGATAGCCTCCAGGACTAAAGCAACGACCCCACCTACATTTTTGGCCATGTTTTTCGTGTGATTATAAGCAGCTCTGTCTGACTCATTTCAGTCTACTCTTGAGCACGTGCTCATTGGTGTATGTCTGCGTGTGCCCACATTTGATGTGCGAATGACGTTGCCTTTTAAAGTCATGCCCTACTATTCGTCCGTGAAAAATATTCTCCCTTTCAGGTGACTATGGTGTAGCCGGCAGCAGTGCATTCCCAGATTTCCCGCTGCTACCGGCTTCCCGAGGCTTTTGCCTGACCCTGCGCAAGGCTCTGACGGGCTTCAAGGAGATCCTCAAGTCCCAGGGTCTAGGCTGTTTAGCCCAGATCAGCCAGGGCCAGAGCCACTAGCCAAAACTAGCCCTTCTTCGCCTCTTTTTAATTTTTTTTCTTTGAGGGGCTAGCTTGTGTAAATTGTGTAAGTATCAAGTTTAGGGCATAAGTTCTTGTCCACTATAACCTAGAAAAAAACATACATTGCATTGTTAGCCTTTGTCACTAGCCACAGTTTCCATAGGTGTTTCATCCTATCATGCATGCTCATATCTTTGATGTCAAGCACTCTGAATTAAGTTCTGGCACATATATGTATATATAACACATAGAGAATATGTTTTAAGAAAGTGTCCAAAAATCCTCAAAAGTAAGATATGTACAGGTACAACTTATGCTGGAGTTACATCTTTTTTTTTTGCTGTGCATTCAAAAACCGTCCTTGCAGACATGTAGTGAGCGTGTGTTAACTTGTGTTTCTTTTCTTCTCGTCTTTTTCAGAAATTTGAGCATTGTTGGAAATTGTTCTTTCGCAAGGCAGTGAGAGAAAGCAACTGCTGAACAACGTTATGAACATGGCGCCGCCGCCACCACCCACGCTACGGATGGGACTCTTTTCTTCTCTTTTTTAAAGGTCTTCTAGCATCTCTTCAAAGTTTATTTTTTTATTTATTTATTTTTTCTAGAAAGGACTAGCTTTCTCCCTCTCTCATTCTATCTACAAGTACGCTAGCTGCGACGCGCATTCTCGCGCGTGCTTCGGCGACGCTGCTTTCCTCCATGCACCGCCGCCTTTTAACACGCTTTTCCACTCGCCCATTGTGTAGGGGGCGCCTCGCCACACTTTTTCTAGCACGGCTGGACCCTTTCTCTTGCTCGCTCGATTGTCCGCAGTAGACAAGCTTTCTAGAACAACACAGCTGCCACCCCCGGTTCCTGTTCGGACGGTTAGAGCGATGTGCTACATGCTACATGGCTACAAGTGGTAACCTCCCATCGTTTTGTCAACTCGGTCGGTCGCTCGCATGTTGGAGGTGCAGCTAGTCTCAGTAGGTCGTGTTAAGCTCTGAAGAATGGTTAGTCCCAGGGGCACTCGCACCTATGCCTGCCTCGCCTCTTCGAACTTTTTTTTTGTCCCCATTAAACCCGAGTAGTTACATGCACGGAGGTGCAATTTCTGGGGAACTTTTTTTACGATGTCCGACTTGGTGGGATATTGTTCGTGTAGTCGCAACCCAGGAAAGTCTTTCTTTTCTTTTTCTCGGAGGTGTGCAAAGGTTAGGCGTGCAAGTGTCTCGGGGAAAAGGTAAACTGAATTGTCAGCCGGTCGCATGACCACCAAGTTGTCCTAGGTTTAACGAGTGCCGCCGATATCGCGCAACGTTGTGCAGAAACACAGTGTTTTCGTCAAGAGTGCATCGACGGAGAAGACGTGCGTCGTCGTTGTGTGGCGACATCCGCTGTCAAAGAACAAACAGCCGAGTGTGGAACTTTCGGGAAGCAAAGAACTTTTTTTTTAATTGAGACAGGAGGGATCCCAGTGGAACAGTGTTCGAAGGGAACAAACAAGTGCAGCGGCGGCCACCTGTGCAATAGTGGCACTTGTCAGAGCTGCGGAAAAAAAGGCTTGTCCATTTCTGTTGGTTAAGTTAAAAAACTTAGAAATATTAAAATTCTTTGAATTGATAAAATAATGTGTGGACTTCATTTTTGGTTCTCTTATACTAGCCACATTGTGGCTGCCATCTTGACAGTAGAGAGGCTTGCCTGCACAAGTATACTTGGGTATGTGTCATTGTTAGGGATAGGCAAGTCGTATGTAGAAACTTCAAAGCAAATGGTGCTTTCGTCAAATAATTTTTAACTGAATATTATACTTGTTGCATACTTTTTGTGAAACATCAAATTTGCACAATATTTTTAATTGGAACATATGTGAATAGCACTCTTTAGTTTAAAAAAAATAAAATTCTATTAATGACAAGGTTTTACTATTAATAAGGTGCAGGTTATAAGTAGTACAATACATAAAATTTTAGTGTTTTGCATGCAAGCCTGTATGACATTTTTAAACATAAAAAAAGGTATCGAAGTGACTGTGTAATCAACGCATCTGTGATGTGTAGCTGTAACCTTGTGGGATGTTGTAATTCCTCGCGTTCTTAGAACAAACGGTCGAACCAAACGAAAATATTTATTAAATTACTTTTACATCGACGCCATCCAAATAAAATGCATCACTAGTGATCCATATGCTAAACACCACCTTACACATTCTCAGTATGACACCCAATCAATATAATACACGGCAACGTTGAGGTGGCGTTGCCAATGCTCGATTCGCGAGGGGCCCATGAAAGACTACCATTCTTGCCAGCCGCCACACGCCTAAGAGCCACTCGTGTCTTGTGCCGCTACCCAGCCTTGCCGCCAGGTGTCACTTCTGGCGCTACTGCTGCGCCACCTACCGCTCAATGATTGTTAACCCTTAATGCAGATTATTTGCGAGACGTGTGCACCACGAGGCGCAAACGACTTTACAGGGGTGATAGCAACCTCTACAGCCTTATAATGTGGCTTCAATGCAGTGCAGACTTTCTTTCTGTGTAGGTAGTTTAATGACTTAGCAGCCCCTTGGCTGCCATAAACCACCTTTTGAAGAGTGTTGTATGTAGTCAAATATGATTCTGTTTGTTCATTTTGAATACTTAGAAGTGTCAAACCAAATTTGAAAACTAATGTTCTATCTATCAAAGTACTAGAATATTCGTACGACATGTAGAGTCGTGGACTAATGAGATGAGGAGTTTACCGGTGTGGGAGTGCAAATGTGTTTGAAGCTAGCCTGGAATACATTTAATTGCAAAATGCAATTTAGAGTCGCGTGAGCATGTTCAGCCATGTTTCTAGGTTTGCGTTCCCCACTTGTTCACTTCAGGGATCCCAGTCTCTGGCAGTGGAATAAAAGAAGCGACATGCCATTTGCTTAGCCATTACTCACAGTGAATAGAAAATTAGGGATGGCTTTGCTATTAGAAACACCAAGGACCAGCCAAGCTGAAGTTTAGCAAAAGGACTAAGGTAGAGCGGCTTATGCCAGCTCCGCTGGTCTTTGGCATTTGCGGAAGCCGAGCCACACCAAATATTTTAGGAGCAAGGTTTCTTGGAGTAGCATCCTGTCATCACCGTCGAAGCTGCCTCGTGTTTCTAGGACCAGGTTAGTTTCTCAGCTCCCCATAGATGCTTGCTCTCTGAAGTGTACGCGACCGCCGATGGAAAACCTAGCGACACTGTGGTTCCATCTTGCACCATGCCTCACGCATTTGCAAATCACACACAGAGTACGGAGAAAGCGAGCACGGAAAAATGCGTCGCAAGCAGCTACTACTCGCCCGTCTCGGCTCGCTGTGGCATGTGCGTCACATCCGTGTTCACACGTCATACTCATGCGTCAGCTTGCGAGTGGAGCTGCGAAACTGCACTGGTTCTAAAAGTGTTGCCCCACGCTATCACATTCATGAAAGCCAGCGCCAAGATCTGGCGCGTAGTCATTTGCGTCCCATTTCTGAGAAGATTCACTCATTGGTTGTATTCATACACCGAACATTTCATCCCACTTCCACCGCTTTCTGTGATTACAATACAATTTTTGCTAGTGTGCTCTTGGTTTTATTGTATCCTCAGCTGTCAACTGTTTACAACTCCGGACACTCAATGTTGGTGTTCTAAAGAGGCATTCTAGTTCCAGTGTTTTTAAATTGTGCATGCAAATGCATAACGCATTCAGCGTGCACCTGTACGAATTTCGCATGCATGCATTCACCTGTGGAGTATGTTGTCAACACGACATGGTCGTCACTTTGTACGGCAGTGCGGGGTCTAAAGACATTCCGGGAAAAGTACTGCCTTGAGATGCTATAGTAAAATGCAACATTTTGCGAAAGTTTGGTTGCGTGTCTACTCTAACAAGACTTAAAACGGTTGAAATTTCTCTCCATGCCTGTTGCTAGATTTTACTTTAATAGTTGTCTTTCTGAGAAGGAAAAACTGCTAAACCTCTAAACGAAACTCAAAGGAGCATTCAGAAGTAGTGCCGTTTATTGATCATTCCTAAAGCTAAATATTTTCCTTTAGCCTACCTTATGCTCTATTTATATTTGTCGGAGACTGTACTTGAGAGCGGAACTCCAGGCGTCGTTGGCAAGGCAACTGAGCATGTTTTACGAATACACATTGCCTGGTGTCAGTGTTGGCAGCCCAACATTTTAGAATATCTTTTGCGGTGATGTAAAATAATATTTGTTCGGTAAGATTTATAATCGGCTCCACATGTAGCATACTTGAAGCAGAATACGCATTACGATGATGGAACAGAGCAATGGGTGTAGCGTGAAGAAGTGTATAAGTGGATTAGAGACGAGATGAGGGTGCTAGTTGAAATAGGAAAAGAAAAATGATGAAATGTGTAATCTATAAACACAGTATTAGCGTATGCACGCTTTTGTGTGACAAGCAATTCAAATTTTGTTTGCTCACCTGGAATGCAAAGTGATGTCCAACCGAGTGTGATAGTGCGCACACAGTCACTACTATTCTGCAGCTACAGCGTACACCATTGCAGTGATAAGTGCCAACAGATAAAACCACTGGCAATGCAATAACAGTATCTTGCTCATTAGTGTTAGGCGTTGCAGAATAATAGTTTACCGAATATGCAGGACTACTGCTTTTCTACTGCTGTCTGCTTCAACCTTTTCTCATCGTGTGCAGTAATAATGGAAGGATGAATTGTTAATTGTCACATGTTCTGTTTGCTCACATCTACAACTGCTGTTCATCTCCCCGAGCAATTAGTTTTTGTGGTGCCTGTTTTTTTTTAGTGCGACGAAAAGCTTACCAGTCAGAGTGTTATATGGCTGAGTAGTTATTCGGAAAATTCCGTGATGCAATATTTGTCAGTTTTTCTTCCTGCAACAACTACAAAGTTGTACAAGTAACGTGTGCTGCAAGCAGTAGTAGCTGAGCACAACAGCGCTTTGTGTTCGCGGAACACTGTTCTTTGCGCATGCACCACGGCTCGATATGGCCCAATTTTTATCGGCACGAAGATATTACTGCTTCTCAAAGTCGACTGCTAGAATACAGTGTGGATGCATAATAATATACCTACTCTAATTTTGAGCACTAATTATGACACACATAGATGCGTAAGACTACATGCAGCAAACAGAATGACACCATAGCGCAGCGTCAATTAAGGTTCTTTCGCCTCAATATGCCTCTTTTTTATGTTTTCTTTTATTTTGTCCTTTTAAATATGGTGGTTTTACCTGCGTTCAGTCAGCTGCCTAGTGGTGCTACCCTCATTGGGGACTGGGATGGGTGTGTCAAAATAAATTTTTAAAAACTTGGTTTTGCGATGCCAATGATGTAAGTGCTGCTCCCATTGCTCCAAAAGAGAAATGCTGCTCCAAACCTACTCCGAAATGGCACTGAGAGAATGAAAATGACAAACTTTGGCTGTTGAAGCAGCTCATACGCAAGTCCTAAAGAAACTGAGAAGAATCTGTGTACTATCACCCCAGTATGCTGCTAGTGTGCATCATTTGGGGCTCTGATCTCATTTGTGTGACAACAACTGGCATATTAGGCATATAGCTCATTTGGCAGTTTTGTTTTTGTTTTTTTTCAGCTACACTTGCAGGTTAGGGTGGCAAAATGTGAAAAAGAGCAGGATTACTTTTATCTCGTACTGATTATCTACTGCTTATTTCGCAAGTTATGTGGAGATGTGGTTGCTTTTAAAATGTGGGGCTCAGCTGTACTGGTTTGATTTGATTTCTTAGAAATACTAGTATTTTGATTATACAGCTCATTTCACAGCAGATTTTTGACTACCAGCCAATTTCTTCAATTATTTGCTTCTTGAAATTTACATTGATTTTTGTCTGCGAAGTATATTTTATAATGAATATTAATATTTATGAGATACATTGACGATGCTTTGAACTCCAATGGGTGTATGGCGAATTTCGTCTCTGCTCTTGAAACACCAATAGCTGTTCCAAACTAACATTATTTTTCGCCCTGAAAACACTTATGGCGGCTCCAAAACTACTTTTCCTGTTCAAAAGTGCGCTCCAAAAAGTAAAACGTCACTTCCATCACTGCGATGCGCACGTATGCGGTCGTGTCTGTGTGTGTCTGGCTGTAACGTTCCTATCATCCGAGCCAACTCAGAACACTGCATTTAACGCAATTTCAATATATAGATGCTACTGAGATTGTGAAAAGGATGCTTGCACTTGTCATCATAATTCAGTCCTTTAATTTCGACCAGGCTCTTATCACGCCTTCTGGTCTGTTGTCAGTCTCCGTCCGTTTAGGAGAGGGAGACACTTGGGATCCTGTTTGTACAGGCCCGAGTCTTCCAGAACCGAATGCGGCGCGCAGATCCAGGGGTCGTTCGTCGCCCGCTGCCACTTAAAGAGCAGCTGCTTCAGCTCGGAAATGACCGTTGCATAGGTCTCGTTGGCGGCGACGTTGTACAGCTCGTTCGGGTCGCTGTCCAAGTCGTACAGCTCCCACTCATCCCTGTAATAGTAGCCGTCGAGCGTCTTGCTCCAGCGGAGCGGTTCTCCGTGCTTCGTTCGGTTCAGCAAGTCCTGGAATGTGGGAGAGACGTAGAAGTCCTGGTCTATTGGGAACGGCATTTTGTTGTTAAGGTTGTGGATGAGCTTCATGTTCGGGGTACGGACCATCCTTGAAGGGTAGTACATGGTGATCTCGTGGAGGTTGTGGCTTGCGTAGATGAAATCTCGCGACGTCGCCAATTTTTGCTGCGCCAGCAGTGGCAGCAGTGAAGAACCCGTGAACGTGACCGGCTTCTTGAAGATGGTGTACTGCGGAACGGGAATGGAGAACCACTCGAGCACGGTGGGCACGATGTCGAGAAGGCTGACCAGTGCGTCGGAACGCTGCGGAATGTCGAAGAACAGGAGTATCACACTGTGAGCGAAAGCACTTCATTGTTGTGATACAGATAGTTCGGTTTTGAGTAGAACTTAAAATCGTCATCATCATCAGCCTGACTACGCCCGCTGCAGCACAGAGGCCTCTCCCATGATCCGCCAATCAACCTAGTCTTGTGCTTTTTGCTGCCACGTTATACCTGCAAACTTTTTAGCCTTATCGGCCCTCCTAACTGTTCGTCTCCCTGTCGTTGGTTTGCCTTCTCCTGTTTTCCACTTGCAGTATTCGCAGAGATGCATGCACGCGCAGAGAAAGCGACAAGGAAGCAACCACTTCTGCATTGCAAGAGGCAGTGCATTTCACACATAGTGTGGAGGTTGTGGATTTGTGTCGCACCATCAGAAAGTTCCTTTTTCATTCATTTTCATTTCCCCTAATCATACAGGTACTCTAATGAAGTGCAAATAACTTTCTCAATCTTTACCTGATCTGTTTATATGGTTACGTTCATCAAAAAATTAGACCATCAGTCGATTCCCTCCTCCTGATTTTTTGCCTAATTGCCATGACTTAATTAACTTTTTCTAGAAGCGTGAACATGTGTCACTTGTATGAGTGCGATAACTTCTAGCGTGTTACGTTTTGCTAGGTTGTGCGATGTGGCACTAATCAATAAATTAAACCAAGTTCGTTTCACCAGAATATTCAAGACTGTCCTCGTGGCTAAAAAGTGTTCTAGCAGCGGCAGCGTACGACATTCACAGCGCAAATATGCGTATCAGATTACAATTATGACATGCTATAGGAATACTGTCGCATGAGTTTCAGCACAAATCACACCAAGTAATAAACATAGCATACAGAGTCAATGACGCCACTAATTGCAGTTATGCATTTGCTCTCCCAAAAGCATCCTTACTTATAAGGGTCCTACAACACCTCTTTCAGTAACCACGAAAAATATTCACTGAAGGAGCTTATTGCCTCACGAATTCACCACCGTTAAAATTTTTAGAATCTGTTCAGTACGAGTGGAGTTAAAAAAGATTCGTCAGATGCTGCAATTGCATTCTCTCTTTTCTTGTGCCGATGAAATCTCTGGAAGGTAAGCAGGGAGGGATGGCACGGGGAAAGAAAATACGTTGTGTGCTTAGTGACCTAGAGCACTTTTTTTCCCAAATTCACGTGAGCAGCTTTTTTGTGCGATTATGCACACACGCGTGAACAAGTATAGTGCCTTATGATCAAATCAGCCAATGACTGATTCTAGGCCTGCAACATGATAATTGTGAGCCTGCAGCGTCATTTATTAAGAGCAGAGAAAGCGACTTTAAGCTGACTGACAAGTTGTTGTAAATTCCTGTCATTTGCTGCGCTATAATAGTTGGCATGCATGTTTCGGGAGCCTTCACTACTTATTGGTACCGTTTTCTGACCACTCTCAAAAAGTGTTGCAGTGCCCCTTTAAACTGGATAACAAAATTTCACCAAAGAAACCACAACGCTTCAGCTGCATTGACGTCAAGAGTGTGCTAAAGCAGAAAAGTCGTACCGTGCCGGCAGATCCCGGTTTTTCCGGGTCGCGAACTATCATGGGCTCCTGGACCCCTGGCTCGTAGAAGTTGGTCCGTCCGTTAGGAAACGGAATTCCATTGTCCGAAGAGTAGATAACGAGAGTGTTATCACTGAAGCCAGCAGCCTCCAACTCTGCCAACACGAGGCCCACCCCTGCGTAACACGAGATAACATTCTGGCATCATTGCTATCTGTGGAAACGCAGCAAGTTGCACCAGTGTAATAATGAGTAGCAGATGAGCCAAACTTCCATCACCATTATATCTTGTTAGTATGCTGCTTTAATTAATGCTCATATGCACTTGCGTGTGATATATTGCTTGCTATGGACAAAATTGGCAAAAGATTATGCACGAGCTTGTCAAGTGTTCAAGTATCGGAATGTCACGTATGCAACCTTTCTTTACTTCTGACTACTTCAGTAATCCTGCAAAAATTTTCAGAAAGTGAATTGAGCAAATACTGTGAACTTGTATGGAGGTTTAATAGGAATGTTGTCAAAGGTCAGGAAATTTCAAAGAATGGAATAAAGTTTTCAATTCTCCAATCGAAACGTGCTACAAATACTGAGAATCGCATCTAATAGGTGGTGGAAAGCTGACAAAATTGATATAAATCTTCTTAATGTTTTCTTCTAAATTTCATGCAAGCATTGACTATTTCATGCAAGCATTGAACAAATGCATCGTCATTTATAGATTTCTAGCAAAGATCTTTTTAAAAAATTTTGTATCTCGGTTTTTTATTTATTTTTTATATTTTTTACTGAGTAGTAAACCAGTAACATTCTTGCTTGTTCTTTTTTTGCGCGTGTGTTTTTAGTGACTGAAGTTCATGTCTTGTCAGCTGGGCAAACATCGCTTGCATCATAAGGTGCACTACTTCTTCCACTATAATTTGTGCATTTTACACGCATTTGAACAGAAAAATCTGCCTTCACTAGACGCAGACATATTCTATTAAATTTGTGTCACTTACAATGACCGATAGATGCCGTCTACATTAATGACTTCGGTTAGCTAAAGCTAGAACAGAGCTGCTACTGTCCTAGCCTTGAGGAAGACAATACTAAAGGTGCATTCTTTTTGAGATTATATATGCATTACAAGAGAACATGGTGGCCGTCACATGTGCATCAGCATAGTGCTTTTCTTGGTGTCCTGTACTTTTATTTGTGAATAGCATTTGCATAAACAAAAACTTGTGCGAATGACTTTTCATAAATTGATACGTTTGCAAGCCTGTCAGGCTTTGCTGCATGAACACTAAAACATGACATCTGCTGCAACCATTTGTCATGAAGGAATGAGTTAACAAAACTTAATGATATTGTAGGCATCTATTATGCACTTCATCTATTTTGGCTGATCATCATCGTTGTTTTGGGGCGTACGCTTCATCACTGAATCTGTGGCACTTGTTTGCTCCCGAGCGCACTTCCAAATAAACATCGCTGCAACCGAGTCATCATGCGTGGTGGAGGTGTTTGGGCACCAATCTCAGTTCATCTGATTATTCCCAGTCAATTGCACGTCAATTTCATTTAGTAAATTGCATGCGTCACTTTCTTACAGCACTAATGCCTGCTCCTTCCATGTAACCCAGCCCAAGAACTACAGATTTTGCAATTTTATAACTTTCTCAATTTGTTTTTATACAATCATTGTGAAATGAGACTATATCGTCTCTTTAAACACTGTGGGAAAGATGTCTCGCCTTGGTCCAACCGCCCAACAGTTGTATACTGAGTTGCGATGTCCTCTCGTGCTGCAGGGGTGTCGGGAACGAATGGGGGCACAACGACTTGACTAGGGTCGTAGGGCTGTGGTGTCCAGTCAGGTATCCGACCCATGCCCGGGGAGCCATTGCCAAACTTTTCGCAAAACGCGCCGTACTGACTGTGGGTGTGACCACACCAGTGGGGGTCGTGGAAAGCGACGTAGAGGAAAAACGGCCTGAAAAGATGCATTTCCGTGAATTACTTCTCTGGTGCGTATAACGATGACGAAGCAATATGAGGCAGTGTGCCACCTATGAACTGCCACAATTTTTTTTTTAATTGACTGCACAAGTGTTCTACAATGGCAACTCCTTGTTTGTACCCACTCTGTTGACAGGCTTTGACACTTGTGAAATCTGAAGACTTCGTTATAAAGTGAACCGGGTCTTCAGAACAATACGCCTGAAAAGATAGAGCAGCGGTCTCAACGCTGCCATTCATTCAAGCAGAAAAAAAACAAGATCCTCTTGCTATGCGCCGTGGCTGGGTTTTTTTTTTCTTCTTCTAGTACTCGCTATGTTACACTGTTATTAAGGACACTGTTATCCAACACTCAATGGCAGCAAAACTAAATTACTATGTGACAGATTTTTCGTATATCTGAAAGAGCAAACCATTGTCTAGTAATGTCACGGATCACTGCCCCCACGCACATGTTTCCATATTCTATCTCATATCAACAAGTATTAACTAGCCCAATTATGCTGCTATCGTTCATGCTTCCATGTTTATTTAATTACAGTTACTTTATTATGACGTCATAAACGGAACTTCTACAATACTGTCACAGGCAATCAGTATCCGAATTTAGCAGATTTATTACTCATTGTAACGTGATGATGCTACGGAAGAAGTTTGTACATAAAAATGTGTGCTGATCTTGGAATAAGGATCAGTTCCTAATGCTCATTGCGCTGTTGTCGACATCTTTACCACATCAGTGCTGTCAGTACTTTCATTATTTGCCATCTCCTTCTGCAATGAAGGTCTAGGCAGGTGCATGAATAACAATACAGTAAAAGTTGCAAGGAAAGTACATATGTCTCACTTGTGCAAATCTCATCCTGTCTGCGATCCTGTGAGTGTACGTCATATCTGCTATTATAGAAGCACAAACTGAGTTTTGGAAATTTCATGTGAATTTCAAAACGAATAGCTAAGGCTATTTGTTGTCTTTGAATTTTGAATATTTATCCGAGGATTACATGCTCTTTTTTCTCTTCATTTTACCTGGAGTCATTGGTGAAAGAAACTTCGCACAAGATGTTTATTTTCGTGATGTTCCGTCCGACTTGTAGAATAGTAAGGTTGTTTTCTTCGGTGTGTGCAAAGTCGAAAGGGTACACCCCTTCGGGGCCTACGTGTTTTTTTCCAATAATGCCTGTAATGATAGAAGTGAGAAAGGAAAAGGGTATATGCTGTCGGCGACATCACTGACATGCAAAACAATGGTGGCCTCAATGTTACCCTGTCACTTTTATACAAGACATATGTACTGATGGGCTAGTTGGTGTTATACATATGTATTGATGAGCTAGTTGGTGAGCTATGACATGTAATGAAGCGGTGAAAAAAAATGACACAATCATGCACACATAAAAAGACATTTATGTGTTATGTTTAATTACGATAAATTGTGATCTGTTGAGTAAACATGAATTCAACTGGAGCATCAGTACTTAGTCAACCAAAGCATCAGTACTTAAGTATACTTATTTCAACAAAATGAATAAGCTTGTATTGGGGGCTAGTAGGGGAGAAATTATTTTGAGAGCTTAAATTAAGCTAGACTGGAGACACCAGAGTATAGGTCAGAACCAACTCATAGTACTGTAGCGTGTGATTTAATGAAACCACAGAAAATTGCCTCCAGGAACAATGAGTTTGCACAGTAACATTCACGGCCATGTGACAACAGAGGACATTCACCCACCGAGGTCCCTATATATTCTTGAAGAGATACAATGACTGGTTCACTGATGCGCCTATCTTATTTATGTATCGCTATCCATGAAGCTTCCAAGATTTCACGTTCCCTTCGATCTGATTCCCTTTACACATTTGTCCCACCGAAAACCGGCTTGCACTTCTTGGCTAATGTCCTACGGCGAACTGGCAGGTGCTTCTCTCTGTCGTGTTCTAGTGAATAGAATGCTTGATTAAACAGTTATTAATAAAGCATTTAATGCATTTGCTGGCAAGGAGACATCCAGTAGAAAGCACTTGGGTGTGTGTCCTACTCCCAGTGCATTTAAATTCTCAGAATTATTTTAGTGAGTGTTTTTGAGGAAGTTTCAGAGGTTTCGCCAAGTTTGGTGCAAGCGCATTCGACCACACTCACCGGTACGAATGCCGCGTTCGGACAAAAGCAAGGGCAGAGACTTGACCTCTTGGAAGGACTGGAAGCCGTGCATGCCTTGGTGAAGGCCGTACATTTCGTTCTGATGCGTCCGAAGACCGGTGAGCAGGCATGACCGGCTAGGCGAGCAACTGCTCACAGCAGTGAAAGCCCTTTGGAACACGACACCCTGTTGAGCAAGCTTGACGAGATTTGGCGTCTTGCAGACGGTGTTGTTGTAGACACCCGTTTCGAATCCTCCATCGTCAGCTAAAAGACACGCATAAGAGTCAGATGGAGCTCGTGTGTCACAGCATCACTGGTGTGCTTTAGCACACCTTGCTTCGGTCTCCAAGATACACCAAAGAGATACAACAGAATCAGTCGCGTTGGGCTTGTGTGTATATTGTATATTGTGGTATATTGTATATTGTGGTATATTGTATATTGTGGTATTGTGTATATTATGGTATTGTGTAGTGTATATAGCATTTCTTGAACATTTTGAAATCGGGCTTCATCTTGTGATTTTGGGAGCAAAAAACAAAATCCATTTTTGAATTTAGCGCAAAAACATCAAGGTTATGACGTCATGCGAAGCGAATAATTTCAAAGAATTTGAGTGGAACTCTCCGTTTTAACTTTTCGCTCCAATTAACGGTATACAGCTCATTTTTACTGATACGTGTAACTGCGACCTGCAAAACGTCGTCAATGCCTCCTTGATTCCGCGTAAGAAATGGGCGCAGCTTTCGTACGCGAAATCACGGAGGCCACGATGATGGGTGAGTTAGTAGTGCGAAAAATGCACGGCGTTGTCGCTATCTGCTGCGTCTGCGCCATCGAACTTGCAAGCAAACAAAAACCCATGATCTATATGCGCGCAAAGGCACAAGATTAGAGTGTACTAGAAGTGTACACATTAACATAATTATGCGTACGCAGCCGAGTGCGAATCCAGGTTTACATAGATCATGATGCCGACAATTCACCAAACTTCGTTTTTAGTTTTTCTTTTTCGCTCATTTCTTCGTGCCGGCGATCATTAAGTGGGTGCGCGACGAATTAATAAAAGAAAAGAAGACGTATTGACCATCCTTTCAGCATGGAAGTGATCAAAATCTACACGCTCAATTCATAAATTTTTTTTCCTGCACGAGATGAAAGATCTATCTATACCTTAGTTGATTTCTCCCAACATAGAGGCAATTAAGGCCAGATTTGATAAGCACTCGTGCAATATGAATTGTGATATATTAAAGAGTAATCGAATTAGATCAACATGCTTATAATAAAATCAAGGCATGTTCGCCAAAGAGCCCGGGTTTATAGCGCACCACAAATTTCGCAATCTTTGATCAATAGCAATCAAAGAGTTTCAGCTGTGGGCGTAATCTTACAGTCGGCATTCAATCAAAAATCATTAATTGCAACTGCGTGTTTAGTACTTACCTAAAATAACTAGTACGTTTCTCTGTTCGCTGGCCTGTAGCATCAAGAGAACAATTACCAACGAATAAGTTCTAACAAGTATACAGCTCATTTCGCTTAACTTTCTTCTACTGAAAGCGCTTCAGCGTCAATAGAACGTCGCACTTATCAGGAATTGCCAAACAAACTGATAAAACTTGCAGCCCCGTGTCAGTTTCGGTTCTTGTTTCGATGTCGAATAAGGCGAGAAAGAAAACAATAAACGCCAAAAAGAATGACTGTGCTTAGATATTCACGTGGGCATAAAGATAAAAGCGACAAACAGAGATAAGGCTTATCTAAAATGAAAGCGTCTTAAAGCGCCACCTACAAGGACTCTAACAATGGAAACATAGACAAAGCAATGTGCGGACCCTGGTAACCGAGTGGCGTGTGTGAGTGTTGCAAGTGTGACTGTGATCGTGTGTGTTGCTTTTTCATCCCGCGAAATCGCGTGTATATTTTGTCCGCTCCTAATTGGAACGTGTGACTGGCTACGCGAGAATGTGCAAGCAAATAATGATCGTAAGTGCCCGTTTTTCCTCGTAACTTCAAAGTACGCCTTTGCCGCATTTCGTTACACAAGTCAGCTGAGCGAGGAGACAACAACGACGTGTTTTTGTTTTTCTCCTCCTCGAGTCACGTCGCACACGGGAGACGCACAACAAGGGGAGGGGGAGAGTTTCGAGTGATGGAGCAGTTCAGGTACGCTGTGGGGAGTTTCGTGCGCAGTGTTTACGATTCCATCGTAGGTATCGGTGTCGTCGTAACCCTGCAAGCCGAGCAAAACAAGAGCGCAGCGCGGAAATCCGCTAATGCGCAGTCCACGACGACGCTAGCTCTACGTAGGGCCGCGGTCCTGCAGGCTAGTCCATCCTCGGGAGCTTCTTTGTCATCAGCTGAACTTCAGCTGCAAAATGTGCCTGCTACACCCCCGTCGACCGCGAAACGGAGGGGCGAAGAGCCGCTGCAAATATACCGCATATTTCAGTGCTGTTGTCTGAACGGCGGCGTCTTCATGTGCAGCGTGCTCGTCTTCTACAAGTTTCTGCTCCCGACCGTTCTGTCTCTCATAGTCTCTCTCTTCGGCGACACCGAGAAGTTATCGGCGAACACCATTTGGAGCTGGTTGCATCCCCTGCTCGTGTGCACCTTCCAAGCCCTCTGGGTGCTGCCGCTCTTCCTGATGAGCAAAGTAGTGAACTGCCTCTGGTTCCAGGACATTGCGGACATTGCGTTCCGCTACACCACCGGCGGTCGCCAGCGGTTCCTGCCCAGCGTGAGCCGCATCTTGTCGGACATTTTGTTCAGCGTTCTCGTTCAGACGCTGTTCCTCATCCAGTCGCTGATCGTGGGCGCCCTGCCGGTCGGGAGGGTGAGCGAGCTCGTCAGCCTGGTGCACCTGAGCATGCTGAACTCGCTCTACGCCTTCGAGTACGTCTGCTTCAGCCGCGGCTGGGAACTGCACCGAAGGCTCTCGTTCATCGAGGAGAACTGGCCGTACTTTGTCGGGTTCAGACTCCCGCTAGCGGTCATCACGTCCTGGTCCGAGTCCTACCTCCTGAGCGGCTCATTCTTCTCGGTACTGTTCCCGCTCTTCATCCCGAGCGCTTCCGGGGTGACGCCCGCCACTGGAACCACTAGGTAAGCAGGCGGATTAGAGTTCTTCGGATGTGGCATGCATATCTCCCACACACATATACAGCGATTGTTTCTTTACCATTACATCTACCCAACAGGCTACGCCGAGACTTCATCACATAACGTGGGTACCACGCAGGATATGGCATGACGCATGCACAGTGGCAACGAACACTAATGCAAAGCTTTGTGTACCCTGTTCTGAAACTGCCTCTTGGAAAGTTCCAGGATAGGACACACACAAAGCTTTGCGTTGGCCTTCGTTGCCACTTTGTGTGTGTCGTACGCTATCGTGTTGCATACTCATGTTAAGTGACAAATAAAGTACACGTCCTACAAATGGCTTATTCGCATACTGCCTGCCATTCACACAAAGTGGAACAAGGTATGTCGAGCGTTACGTACGAAATCGTTCCAGGAGTTGTCACTGCTGCTTATGCACGAAATGCAAGCTCCTTGTGTGTGCTCTCGCGATTCTTGCGTACACAGTAGGCTTTGCATGCCCTAATATGACTTCAACCCCAAGCTTTCTCATTCTTTTGCACACTCCTTGCATTCATCTGTCTGCCTGCCAGAGTACAGTGGAACAGCAGAGTGCCTTCGCCTTTCGGCGCTGCATCAACAAACGAAAGAACACTTCATGAGGTAGAGGGTATGCAGAGCTTTGCATATGTGATTATGTTGCATTGTTCCACGGCACATGCGTGAAATGCGAGGCTGTTGGGTATGCTGGCAATTCTAGCGTACCAAGCAGGCTTTGTGTGCTTTAATTCAGCCCAAGCCTACCCACTCTTTTGTACTGTCCACGTGTTCTTCCAAATGCCAGCCAAAGTACAAAAGAATGTCAAATAAAGTTTATGGTTTTTGCCACCATGTATGTATGGAATGTGAACCTTTTGGGTACGCTCATAATATTTTTGTACCCATCAGGCCTATGTATTCTTACAAGACTTCAGCCCCAATTTTTCACTTTCTTTTGCATTCTTCTGTTGTTTTTGTGCCCAATAGCTGGAGTATGGGAGCAACACAATAGCTTGTGAGTCTTGCTACTAATCCCTTTCTAAAGCTCTACCTTCACTAGTGTGTGTGCTCTAGAGTACCTTGCATTTGACGCATCTGCATGTGCGAAAGAACCGACAACTCGAATTAGTCATGTACGCAAGGCTGTTGCAAAACTCCGATGCTATTCTCTTTGGCCATGCATGGTTCCTGGACCACAAAACACTGTATTCATCGTCATGGATGTTGCATATGCTTCAGACAGGTTTTTCACTTCAAGTTGTGTATTCACATGGCAAGAACATTGGCATGAAAGCAGTCGTGAACAAAACTCTGAAAAGTATGCAGCAGCGGCCAGGTTGGTGTAATGTTGGGATGATGTAATTGAATTGAAATAAATGGCACAGTTGCTGCTGGTACAGTACTTGAAGTTTGAAATGTAAAAGTTCCTAAGTTAATGCTCACACTTCAGTTTCCAGGATCTACAGATTGAGCCATATCAGCGCAATTTTCATTCTGAGACTTGCATTGCAGCAAACATTATCTTTAGTGGCCAGATTCGCGGCAACATGATATGGTTGTCCCGAGCGATTCCTCGTAAAAATCGTTGCACTAAATAAAGTGATACCCTGTTTCAATCTGCGAGTACTGTGCAGGCAGCACTTGCATGCCTAAATTTTGACACACATTGTCAGCGTTGACGGAAGCACCTACAATGCAAATAATCTCAGTATTAGATTGATTAAATGTGTGTGCTTGTGCTGAATAACATGATCTTGATTTTGGAATATGGCATGCCTATTTAAACATAATCTAATTAGCATTATCACAGACAAACAAGATAAAGTATGCTGTTCAGTTTCGTTCCTTTCTATAACATTAGTGTGGCTCTTTTTAGTCTGCATGTACTCTAAAATTGAATTTAACGACCTAGTCCCCATCAATTTGACTAATGTATGAATTTCGTAGAGCAAACTTATTTGGTTTGTCTCCAGCTAGAGTGTGTGGCAGTTTATGGGTCTCTTAGTATCAACATCATCAGCCCGACTACATTTGCAGGACAAAGGCCTTTTGCATGTTCCGCCAGTTAACTCAGCCCTGTGCTGGTTGCTGTCACTTTATACCCGCAAATTTTATAATCTCCTAGTATAGCAAGTTTCTATTCCTGCCGCATTTTTTGTCAAGATGGCCACATTGTTCTGTTCTCTACCTCGTTGTGACCATACGCTGCCACCGGTTGGGCTCTTTCAGGTATCCTCTCAAGCTCTTTTCTCCGTCCATATGGGTGGCTAATGCCATTTTTCATCGGCTGACCGCAAACTGCACTGCCAAACCGCTTGTTTGACCTGCAGTTCCGCAGCAAAAGCGGGCAGCGAGCCGCGAGCTCCGCAAGAAGTCGGCGGCACTACGTACGTCGCCACGGACATCACGCCCGAGGACTGCTGCCACGCCCAGCTGATGGATTCACCCGGCAACTCTGCGGCCTTCCTGACATTTCCCCGCACAAAGCTGTAGTCTGAGAGCCGCATTCGTAAACCGCCACGCCGTTCACGAATGCGATGACTTCACTCCGCAGCATTGACACGGCGCTTGCCACAGCAACGAGGTCTAGGGTGCTGCAAGGTTGAGGTGGCTGCCACAATCTGTGGGCATCATGACTGGATGGGTGTCGCCCCTCTTGGGACTGTGCGACACGCCCGGCTTTGTTCATGGGCACCTTAGTTTTTAACAGGTTTTTAATTATTTGACTCGTCATTTGAGGTGTGTCAGCCTTGAAATGTGCCCTTGACTGCCACAGACAAACTTTCTTTTTTTTATTTAAGCAGGGCGTTTCACGACGCTCTTCATAAGTAAGGTCTCGGCGGTCGCTGCTACTTTGCAACAATGAAACAGAGACAATCAATCACTGCTGCAAGCAGCCACATGCGCACAATATACAGGACACTGTAGAGATTATGTTCCTTGATTCCTTTTTAACAAGGGATCTTTTATGAACTACGGTTGCTGAAATAAAAGTGCACGTTTTATTGTTTTTAGTTGAGAGTGCTAGTCTCTTTCATTTTCAACATTGGCCGTAACCTCCACATAAAATTCTATCTTTGGAAGCCGGTAGTGAACTGTTCCTTAATGCCACGATGTTATGCAAGTCTATTAAAAAGGAATTTTTAAGTTAAAGCAACTCTTGCAGTGACACCACAGGCAGGTAGATGGTCTTCTCGAGAAATTTCGGCCCAACTAATGCCACTATCACCTGTTTGTTTAAGAAGCAAGAAGCAGTAGACGTCGATGTAGCAAACACTGGGTCTACTGCACATGAACCTTGAAAGCAGCTTTAGTTGGCATATCGGCTGTTCTTACGTGTGGCTGCTAAACCTTGCAGTAACCTGATGCTTAAGCCTGTTTGCACACACGGCTATCTTGAGGTACTGTGGTGTTGACAGTTTTCGATCACACCTTTCCCACTTGCTTCCACATTTTTCGGCTAACATTGGCGAGCTGAGCGAGCGTTCAGTAAAATTGCAACTGCTGAAACGCGGATGGACGTTTAATCAGTTTTGGCTGAGCTAGCTTTAAGTATGGTATCGTGCAGTGTGGGACCAAAGCTTGTTTGACACGTGCCTGAGTTGTATCTGTCTTGCCTAGTTGTAACGCTTTGTCGTACACCATTGTGTAATCTAAGATTCTGATAGTATGCATCGCCACCCAGCCCTTCTTGTGTGTGCAAATTTTAAAGGTTGTTGTTAGTTTGCAGCCCATTTGCATTGCCTTCTGTTGATGCTGAAGAAGGAAACAACTTTGGCACCATTTGAATTGCGCCACACTTCAACAGTTGGAAAGTGAGAGTGCATGAAAATCGCCGCTTGCAATGCCCGCAAAATTAAATGTCGGATCTCTTTTTTCCTGGCTGAACTGCTGGGTTGTGGCCTACAGGTGGGCTTTCTAACGTGGGCCTCGGTTTCTGGATAGTTAGGCACCACCTGAACAAGTTCGTAAAGTTCAGGTGAATTGACTGATTCTTGGCCTAAGGAGACACCATTGTGTTCCGTTGCAACCTTGTTGCTCGAAGATCCAGGAAATCGGGCTGTTGGAGCCGTGATACGTATTGACACTTGAGTTATGAAAGTTTTGTAAGCGCCCGTTTCGAAAAGACCTAAAGTTCGCCGGTTAACTTGTCTTGTTTTTCGCACGTCGCTGCTTGTCAGATGAGAGATATGAGCAAGAGAAAGAAAATCGTGCACCAAACAGTGGAACCAGAAATCAATGGATCATGCGACATTGCCATCTTGAGAGAGTTCTTTGATGTGGGAACTTTTTTGTTCTGTCTATTATAATTACGGTCAATGCAACATTAAAGCAATACAGGCGGTCTGTAACGAAATTGGTAACAAGACAGTTCACATTCATTGGCACACTATGCTGGCCAAAGCGACACATAGTTTAAAAACATGTATAGAAAGTTCCAGAAAAAACAACACTCTTACGACTACCGAAGTGAAATGTGCTCACAGACGTGCAACTTGCAGAGAAAATGTTACAAAAGACATTGTTGCAAGTCGCCTGTCGTAACAGTGCATGTGCTTATAAAAGTAACAGAACTGTTATGGCAGAACACACTGGTCTTGGCATAGAAATTGAGAGGCGTTGTCAGTGCTACAGCTCTCTATACACTAATCTGACACGTGCCGATTACTGGTTAAACCTCGACGAATAAAAGAGCAGCATTCTTTATAAAGACCGTTTGACTTTGCAGAAATGTAAGAAATGCTGTATGGCAACTCTAGCAGTTCACTTTAGAAGGCGCACTAAAGAAAAGTTCAATGTCATACCATGCATTTAATTGCACACCCTTTTGCAGACTGTCTATTGGAAATAATCCACAGATATCTAAAGTTCACCTTTTTCATGCAGAGCAGCAGACTTACACACTACACGCTTCATACATCTTGCCAATTTTTGTGAAAAACGAGTCTTAGGAGTCAAATCTGTTTCTGTTTCGTAGAGCGAAGTACAATGCCACAAATTTATTCCTTTTATTATGTATGCCATAGTGGCTCTCCTATTAAGACATATTCAATGATTTTCGACCCGTCAAAAGACATGTTTAGATTAATTTTAGTCACCGAATTGCAGTACTTTAGCTAAAATGCCCATTTAAACAACGTCGCCAGAGTGCAGGAAATATTTGTGCCAGTTTGAGCATTATCAGAGTTTTCTTACCTGCAGTTTTGACTAACGTAAACCAAATGTTCCAACACACTGCTGTGTCAGGAATGCACAGACCTCATTTGAGTGTTCAAAGCACGGGACACTCTAGCGAGTATTTCCTGCAACTTTCGCATGCCGACTTGATATTCAATGTTACGAAAATCGCTGTTCCTCTGCTGCATGTTGGAGAAGTTTAATCAAGGGCGGAGTTTTCCGGCTTTCTCAAAACCCCTCATCACTGTTCGGTGTTGCTGGTCTCTGCATCAGGTGTGACGCTGTGGAGCTGGTGTTTCATCTGCGGTTTCTGGCAAATTCACATTGGTCTCTTAGCATTCACATGTTGTAGTTGGGTTCCCATCACAAGTCTTTGGGCTCCTTCACCATTCGTCTACTTCAGCGCAAGTGGTCTTGCTCCTATTTCTATGGCTGGCAGGCTTATACATTCACCAGCGGAAGCTTTTTATAGGCCCGATGCACTGCACCACCGGACAATTGCCACTCTTGGGGCTTCTTTCACGACATCTGAAAGACAGTGCAACTCGTCCTTTTAATAAGATCGGCAACTCTACTGTTTTCGTAGTCCACAGACTGCGGTACATCATACGCCCACTACTTTCTTGAGCCTTAGGGAAACGTTACGGACATTTACTATGGTGGCAGCATTGTACGCAACCCAGTGGCCAGCGGTCACACTATTCACAGTGCCATACTTTCTGCAGCTTGTACTGCGTGTATGGGAACGCAACTTGCACTGCTTTTCAGCTACTGGGAGAAAAAAACCTGAGGCATTAGGGTGCGTGCTTAGGCAGTACGCTTGTACAAGCCCGTGAAGTGAATGTTCAATATGCGTTAAACACTTTGACAGCTTTCTCAATGTGAGGTTTTTCATACAGACCAATGGTTAGTGTAGTCTCGCTCATAGCTGGATAACTTGTGGTAAGAGAAAGGAGAGGTCCATTGGTGAAGTGGAGGTTTTTGTGTCAAAAGGGATATTATCGTGACACTTATTTTATTCCTGTGGCCTTGTCCCTGTGTGAGAATACAGCTCCTTGTAATTAGGCTAGTGAGTCCATTACTCCAAATGCAAGCAGCACAAAAAGAAAAGGCTCGTTGTACTGCATCCCAGGGTCCTCTGAATTCTGCCCTTTACATCCTAGTGTGGCTTGGCGATTATGCTGACATTGGCCTCTACACGCACTGTGCTCCTAGTTGCGAACTCTTTCCAGCATTAAGCAAGCAGGAATTTCACCATACACGTTCGTAGCTTTCACTGCTTCTTTTAGAAGCTGCTATTATACCCACAGTTTGTTTGCATTTCAGGAGAAGGTTGTTTCTCTCTACAACGAAAGCTTGGAACGTGAGGGTGTACGAAAATCACGTGCTGCAATGCCTGCAAAATGAAACCTCGGTAGTGAATGCTTGGGCCCACAAAGTGAGAATATATAATATACTACGTACACCCCAGATTTCTTCTGGAAGTATGTCATCGAGCTTGCAAGTGCTACAAACAGTTTGTAATATTAATGAACACAAAGAACGCTTATGTCGTAGCTTTGACTCTCTTAGAAACAGCTTCTTTGCCCTTTGCACAGACCTTTGCCTGTTGTTATCATGTATTTCCTTGGAAAATTAGCTGAGTATTGACTGTTGGCCATTGCGGAGTGCCCCCTGCACTCTAGTATAAAGAAAAAAAAATGTTGCACGTATCGTTCTCTTGCAAGTGGTACCTAATGGAACTATAGTTATTACTAACTAATGACTGAGTCAACGTATGTCATTAAAAAATGACATGCAACTACAAACTGGCACACATAATAACTGTAAGGGGGATATTTATTCCCATGAAATATCGCCCCTGTGGGTTTACACACAGGCGTTCCAAAGAGGCAAGGAGCCGCCAGTACACTCATTTACTGCCTTTTGTTTGTGTGTGCGTGCATGCAAAGACTACATTTTTACTTTGAACTTGTGGCGCTTTACGTGTGACTTTGTGTTTTAACGCGCACTGCGAGTGATGTCATCTGTGCGTCGGAATGTACTTTGAACGTGATATGCTCGTTTGTATTGGTGCTGGTATTATTTAAATGCTGAGAGCCTGTGATCATGTAAATTGGTGTGTAAATATGATCTTTTTTTATTTGTCTCGATGGCGCATGACTT